TAAAGACGGTTAGTCATTTACAAAGATGCAATTGTGCACAATTTGTACAGTGTTTTTAGCAACTGACAGCTGCCTACAGGTCTGAGTATCTGTTTGTTTCAATACAAACTCAGATGCTTCAACCATCTCAGTTTTCCTTCGTGTTTTTTAAGCTATGCTGTCCACATTAGCATAGGAATTTTTTAAACTTATGCTGGTCCAGGGCCTTTATAATTCAACTGTTGACCCTTTAGTGTGTAGAGAATAGAACTGAAATGTAAACCATTCCATATACATGAATTTATATGTAAAGCCTCCTTCATACATTGTGAGACTTAGGCCTGATATGTGGAATGATATTAACCTGGCTTGATTTTTGTTTTGAAGGGAGAGCTTGGTTCATAAGTATTAAATTACGATCCACCGTTAGCTAAAGCTAAAGGAAAAACTTTATTCACCTTGATTATTTTCTGCATTTCTACCCACAGTCCCCACAAAAGACTTTATAGTTCATAGCTCCTCTTTAGCAAAATTCTTATTTTGTTTGATTTCATAGAAAAATGTTTTGGTTTTATTCAGGCCTTCTAATAGTCCACACAAGTGAAAAACTTCCCCCTTTGCATCTAAATATTTTGTTTTTGCCACCCTCAGAACTAGCTCAGGGAATCATGCTGATTTTTTCTGGAGAAATAGGATTTGTTGAAATATATATGTAATTGGTATTATTCTAGCACCCCTGGGGGAAGCATGGGCCAGTGCAGAGATAGTGAGCTACTTACACGGCCTTGGTGGTTGATGTCATGCAGAATTGTACTTGCTCCCTGTGCCAACAGTCTGGTTTCTGAATAGGTTTCCTTGTTTCCCAATATTAACTTGAAATTTAAAATTTTCCAAGAGCAATATTAACAAGGCCTAATTCGAAGGTAGGTTGCCTGAGTTGGCAAATGACGTGTGCTCCTGACCTGGGAAATTAGATAATCAGATTAGTGTCTGTGCAGAATAGAACCTTACAGACTCAGCAGTGCATCTGACAGTTCTGAGTGGGTGGTAACGTGTGATTATCTGGTGCAATTTCTTTGTACCACTGGGCCCTTTGGGATATGATGCTTTCAGTAAGAGGTTGGGATATAGAAGCAGGTTAAGTCCTGATTGGGTGAATGTTTTGTAGCTTCTTGGTGACCTTTTCTTTCCTGCATACCCTCTCTTCCTCTTTAATTAAGCCCTAGGTGTGCATGTGGTGTGTGTGCTTGTTTGTAAGTACTTCACTTGTCCAGTACGGAACAAAGGTGTAGGAGCATGCGTGGCTCGTAGTGTGACAGCAAATTGTTGGTGGCAAGATGGCTCAGAGGTGCTCTGATCTTTACCTCTTGCCTTTAAAATATGGTGTGACCACCTCTTTTATGAAAAAGACAGATTCGAAGGTGTGAGTGAATGTCATGTACTCATTCAGAAGATATTTATCGAGCACCTCCTGTATTGTATTACAATATCTAAATTAAGATCTAAATTATATCATGAGCTCTTTGGGAATAAGTTATGTTTGAATCCTCAGGACCTGCACAGGACCCAAGACAAAGCCAGTGGTTATTGAAGGGAAATCATGGAGAGGCAAATTGGGTACCCCAAATGCAGCACTTGGTGGATGGACTCCTACCCTTTGGTGTGTCCTGGAGCCATTGGTCTAGACTCCTGATCATGTTCCCTGACAGCAGTGGAAACTATCAGGTCCCCTCAACATGCATACATTAGCATATGCAGGAGATGACATGAAAGAAGTGCTTAAGACAGCAGCTCCAGCCAGATTGCCCAGGTTGGAATCCTGCCTCTGCCATTTAATTAATGACCATGTGACTGTGGTAAACTATTTCATCTCATTGCCTCGATGATTCCATCTGTCAAATGGAGATATCACTGTTCTGATCTCACAGCACTGTTGTAAGGATTAAATGAGTTGCTAACAGAGATAAAACACAGCAGGCCTGGCACATATTGATGTCAGCATGTTCCGTGTATGTTCCATTTTAGTAATGAAGTCTGTGAATTATAAAGCATACCCAATGCAGAAATTTTAAAAGGATGGGCTAACCATAGAAAGTCTAATATTTTATTCCCACCCCATTGGTTTATCTTGAGGACCACATTTTGGACACCACTGGCCTGGAGTTCCATGGTCCTGGGGAAGCCAAGCAAATTATTCATCCACCTTGTCTATACTTCCCCCTCTGCTTACTATGCACCTCACCTTTGGGATTAACAGGATTCAGGATCAGTTCATCTCAGTATTTCTGCACCCAGGTTATTTTATTACTTGTTAACTCCCTTCATGTAAAAAATTGTGTTCTAGTCCTCTTCTTTTTAAAATAAAGAGGTTGAGATCCGTGTGCTGGAATAGGGTCAGGTGCTGGATGAAGCAGTGAGGGCTGCCATTCTAGGAGGAGGTGGGGGGAGCAGGAAGCAGGAGAGCTGTGCAGAGGCCGCTGGCCTGAGCTCCTCTCCCCCCACCCCCAGGAAGCTCTCAGGGCAGGGTTCTTCCCAGAGAGCCAGAACCTCCCAGGAAGGCAGCCCCTTGCAAACTGCGTGGAAGACTTCGTCCCATGGGTCCCGGGGTTCCCGACCACTCTGGCCTTATCTGTAGTGTTCTTTCTGGTCCCTGGGCATGTGAGGTGACAAGACATTGGGGTGAGGAAGGTGTACCTCTAAAGCCATGGGAACAAAGGGCAGGGATCTAGGTTACAGCTGCATCCATGCCTGGCTCCAGATTCTGTTACTTCCTTTTTAATAAATCATCTTGTGGCTTTGAAGGAAACTTCTCTTTGTGGTATTTGAGGAGGAATATAATTTGGAAAATATTCCTCCTTAAAATCATCGTGACCACAGTTTCTGGGCATTTATCTCTGTTAGGCACGGTGCCCAGTGCCTTTCATGAGTTTATATCTCATTCAGCCCTCTCAGCCACCCAGTGAAGGAAAGTACTGCTGTGGACACCATTTTACAGGTGAGGTTAAACAGAACCAGAATTCAAACCCAGACCCTGACCGCAAAGTCTGGCTCTTCCCCACCAGGCTCCACGGCCTCCTTCCAAGCTTGCCTATCTCATGGCGCTGTTGAGGATAAAATACTTAGAAAAGGACTATGTGAGGTCCAGTGCTGTATAAATGAGGTGTTATTTGTAGAATTGTGTGGTCAAAATCAGCAATAATGAAAGCTAGTGTTATACTGAGTGCTTACTCTACCTCAAATTCTTTACATGCATCCTCTTGTTTTAGACTCAACAATTAACTGTAAGGTGGATAATTTGCAGATAAGAAGGAGATGGACTCAGGAACGTTAGGTTCCTTGCCGGGTACTCAGCTTATAGGTGGTACAGTGGGACTGAGACCTGGGTCTGCTCACCTCCAGAGCTCTGACCTGAGTATCACCTCCCTGATGCTACCACCTCCCTGAAGCTGGAGGGACCTCAGAGACCTACTGGAGATGAAGAGTTAAAGTTGAAGGATTTTTCCCTAAATCCGAAAGCTGGCTGGAAATAGAGCTGAAGCTAGAAATCAGCCCCCAGGGTTGATCTCGTCGATAGTAGGAGGCAAAAAAATAATAACAACAAAACACACACAACTCTGTGGTTTACTGAAATAACAGCATCATAGCTCATACTTATTATTTAATTTACCAGATGTTTATTGACAGCTCCTGCCCACCAGACAGGGTGGAGGAGGGTGTGCTAATGCGAGCCCCATGTGGCCGGGTGGGTATGGGCTCTGTCCTGATGCCGCACCGTGGATGAGGGGTGCAGAGTCACATGGAGCTGGAGCACTGAGGGGGCACGTGGGCACGGAGGCCCTGCTCATCTCGGAGAGCAGGGGCAGGGGGCTGCTTTGCGGAGGGCAGGGCAGGGTGAGGCCTGTGGAAGGGTTAGGGCGAGGATCAGATGCGCTATACACTTTAGCTCCAGAACCAAAGGCTGGTAGAGGGGTGAGGAGGGCGGCAGGAAGCCATTCACAGGCAGTCGAGGAAGAGATGGCAGTGTGGGATGGGCGGCACATGTCCTGAGTTAGGGTCAGCGCCCGCTTTCTCTTCCCAGTGCTGCGGGGTGCAGTTTTGACAACACTTCATAATGTGAGGATTGATAAGTGGGAACTTCCTGTTGGAGGCATTACTTCCAGTCTCTAGGATTAACTAAAAAGTCCACTGGTGACCAGAACAAGCCTTCCTTTGCTCTACTTGAGGATTTTCTCCTTTTCTTTCGGGACCTGTATGGAGATCGTTTTCTCTCAGCCCCTGCATCATGTCCCCTTGGCAGCACATTCACGTGAGTGCCCATGAGCTCTCTGTGTGCACTGACACTGTGCGTGTTAGTTCAGATCCTCTCCACGCCGAGTCAGGTGGACTGCTGAGGTAGGTGGAGGTGGAGCGGTTCTTGCAGGTGAACTGTGCCCCCCCCCTTTTTGGCTGACACAGCTGCGCTATCATGGGCTGCGTCCGTGTGTGTGGCACCCCCAGCCCCTCAGACTGGCCGTGGTGGGGTTTGGCATGTGCTCTGTACTTGCTCAGGAGGAAGGTCCCATGAGAAGCATCATGGGCCAAATATGACTGGTGAACCAGGCGTGTAACATGTTTACCCATCAGAGAAGGTCCCTGGCTGCTGCGATCTCGAGCGTACCCAGGATGGAAACTGGACAGGTGCCACGTGTGGTTATCTTTACCTGAAAAGAAAGAAATGGCATCTCTTGTCTCCTCTGGTGCCCCAGAAAGTTGTTCTGGGTCTCAAGGGTCCCGTCCTGGGAATGACAGAACTTCACATATGCTTGGGTAGATTAACTCTTAATCCATCTGAAAAATCTACCAGAACAGCGATTTTGTAGTGTCCCATGTTTTGTGAAAACTCTTATCTGGGGACAGGAGTGTTGTCCCTGCTGTAAAAATCAGTTACCAACAAAGATTACTTTTTACCTTCCAGCACGCCTGTGGGTGCTAAACATTCTGCTTTTGTTTCCCACCTCTTTTTATCCTGCAAATGTGTTTAGGGTGAAGAAGCTGAAGGAGACCTTTGCTTTTATTCAGCAGTTAGACAAAAACATGAGCAACCTTCGCACCTGGTTGGCTCGGATCGAGTCCGAGCTCTCTAAGCCAGTGGTTTATGACGTCTGTGACGATCAAGAGATCCAGAAGAGGCTCGCCGAACAGCAGGTGGGAGTGAGAAATGAGCTTCGTCAGAGTATTGCAGTGCACAGTCTCCGCTAACTCAGACCCTCCCCGCACTGGCTGTGTGTTTTAGCAGGTTCACGTGTCATGATACTGCTTGTCTTTTCTAAAGAAAGTTGACCACCTTTCCCATGTTCTCGGGGGTTTGAGGCATCCGTCTCTGAAGTGCCCACCCCACCACAACCATTTACGTAGCTCTTTGGGAAATACTTGGAGTAATTTTAAGATGCAGACATTAATCTTAGTGATAAACAGGGTCTTTTATTTTGTATTTTCCTAACTTTGATCTTTGTTTTGTTTTTTGTTAATGTAGTTTTAGAAGGCAGTGAATTGAAAGAAAAATAATTTTTCTAGCCAAAGAAGGTTTTCATGGGACAATACCTGATGTGTCTGTTAAGAGCTTCCAAGAAAGGGAGCATGCTTGAACCCGTAGCATAGGAAGCCTCTCCTGCAATGTTCTGTGCATCTCTGTCATCAGTTATGTACCCTTTTAACCAACCTTGGAAACTTCACTGGGTGCTGCCACCTAACCTGGTGGGTGCTCTTTGATCTAACTTAACAGATCCACTCTCCTGCCCTCCACGGGCTCATGGTCACCTGTTCATTCTCATATGTGGTGCCTGAGCTTGTCTTTATTTTTAAAATAGTTAATCTTACATTATTCTCTTAGTGGCTTTCCTTCACTTGATTTCCTCAGTCCTGTGAGCAGTTTATGTTTTAACCATATAAGCATGTGGTCACCAGGTTCTCGGACGTGTACTGCTTTCTTCACGTTACCTCCAAAGCCTTGCTGTTTGTTATCTGTCAGCACAGCAGAGAGATTCACCTACATGTCACAGCTGCTTGGAGACAGAGTTGGGGGCTGAACCTTTTTCATCAGATTATCATCAAGGCCAGAAGGCCACTCCTTGATGGCAAATTCTCTTGAGTTCAGATCGGTCCTTCTCACGGTAGTAAGCAACATCTCATGCTACCACGAAAGAGAGCTAAGTTTTCGATATTACTCTCAACTTAGATCTTTATTTAATCCTGTTACAATTACTGTTTAAATAATGCCTCTTCTCTGATTTTCAAGCTAGTATGACTTAGCCGTGCTGCAAAGTAAAAATACTGGTTTTTCCACTTAGCCTCAGAAATTCAAGTATGTCTTTTTCATTGAGGTCATCTAAATTCTGTCTTTGCTTTGTAGAGAAATGAATATTGATATAACTACCACGTTAATGGACATTACAGAGATTTTAATGCCCTTATCAGTAGGATCACAGCTACTGAACATTATCAGCTTTATTTACAAGATTGACCCATTAGGTTGAATTTCTTGAACAGCCTCTTAATAGACAAAGCCTTGCAAATAATTATTTACCCTGACTGGTGAGTTCTTTCGGGTAAATAGAATAGAAGCTGACAACATTTTTCCTCTTCAAGAATGACTGACTGTTGGCAGGGACTAAGAACATCTGTTAACATTTTATCATTAATTTGCAGGGAATTTATTCCCCAAAATGTACAGTTTGGAGCTGCTGCCATTCTCTTGGCTGTGTTTGTTCCAGTACTGAAATGGTATATATTTCAGTCTGGTATCATGATTTGAAGGTTTCCTCTTTATAGAATTCAGAATCACCATTTTGGAATCCTTACCCCTTGGTTACAAAAAAAAATTACGGAGTTCATGTTCAGGATGACCGTTGCTGTAAAGAAATTAGATGTTGTATTAGTTTTGTATTGCCACTGTCACAAATCACCAGAGGTTAGCAGCTTTATACAAATTTATCATCTTATAGTTCCGGAGGTCAGAAATCAGACACAGGGCTGAGGACACATGTCAGCAGGGCCAAATTCCTTACTGGAGGCTCTCGGGGAGAATCCATTTCTTTGCCTTGAAGTCCTAGAGGTCACCCACGTTTCCTGGTCCATGGTCTCCTTCCACCATCGGCAAAGCCAGCAAAGCTGCATTTCCCTGGGCCTTTCTTCCATAGTCGCTCCTCCCTCTGATCGACTCTTCTTCTACTTTCAAGGACCCATTGGGCCCATCCAGCTAATCCAGGATAATCTCCCTATTTTAAGGTCAGCTGATTGGCAAGCTTAATTCTCCTTTGCCATGTCACCTAGCATAGTCACAAGTGCTGGGGATGAGGACGTGGACATCGCTGGGGTGTGCCAGTATTCTGCCTACCACAGATGTCCTGAGGAAACCTTTACTATTTTTATTGTAAAAACAAAGTTATAACTAAACCCAGACCTTAAATGCTCCACCAAAAACAGGAAATGTGTCACACAAAAAATTGTGTGTGAGCCATTTGAAAAAAAAAAAAACCTTACCTATGTTTCTGTCTCTGATTTAAATATAATGAGTTGCTTATTGCTTCCAGAAATAAGACCCAAACACTGGGGATCACCTAGTAGTGCCTTCTGCAAATGCCCTCAGGCCCCAAAAGTGATTAAGAGTGGTGAAGTCCCTGGACCTTCATTCTGATGCCCTCGGGGGCCTGGTGCAGAAGGAGTCGGCCTTGTAAAAGTCTTTTGTTCTTCTCTTCTTCATGTGACACTTCTTAGGCTAATAAGGATTATATTCTTGTTCCTGTAGAATATATTGTCTTCAAAATGCAAACGAAGTGGTGGCAACCTCTGTGACCCTTGAAAACCCTGAACCACTTTCACTGTCTCCAGCATCTCTCTCCTGTTTTCTTTGGGTGTCCTGATTCTCTGAGGGTGCCTGATGGGGGCTGGACACAGGTGGCTACCCCCACACCCTGTAATTACCAGTACCCCCAACTGGGCCAACTCAGCTTCATGCCAACTCCCCAGACCACTCCCCAAGACCACCCCGCTGGACTTGCTCGCCACCCCCAGCCCCTCCCATGGAGACATTCTGGGGCCCCACAATGCACCACATGGTTTTCCCCTTTTCCCTCTTTATCTTATTTTTCTAGTTCCTTTTGTATTCTCATTCTTCCTGGCTGCATTCTCAGCTCTAATTTCCTGTCTCCCCCAGTCTGTCCCCATTGCCTCCCCCACCCCCCGCCCAACTTACTTTAGCTCTTTCCCAGCTTCATTGCTCTGTGTCACCTGCTCAGGAGCAGAAAAACGAAAAAAAGAGGAGCCCGTGCTTCCAGAACTGTTGACAAAAAAGTCTTTCATGTTGTTTTGTTTTTTCTTAAGTCCAGTTTGTCTCTGCATTGGAACAATTTTGAAATCCAGTCATTGTGCACACGCGTGCCTCCATGGGTGCTAGTGGTAGGATCATTTCAGTTTGTAAAATGTCACTTCTTCAGCACATGGTTTGTGTTTTTAAATATGGTCCATCACTTATGCTTTACAGAGTAACTAGTGCGTACTACAGTATCAGTGGGCCATTCTGTGGTGTTTTAGAAGTTTCTTTTGGAAATTTTGAAAACCTTTGGACTCCTTTTTAACCAAGATGTGGATAATCTTGTATCAATGATCATAGAGCTCACTTCTTGTTCTTGTTCACACTTTATATTAATCAGTTTTCTGGAGGTGTTTTATTCGATGTAAGCTGAGGAAATAATGTAGAGTGACTGCAAAGAGCCTGTTAAGACGTATGACACTCATGTTGATCCATAGACTAGACTTTCTCAGTGCTTCTCCTCCGGCTCCAGCCCAGCCTCACCAGGTGAGGTCAGGGGCAGGTACCACTTTTCAACTGATACCTGTTAAAATTGGTACCAATTAAAATTGTCAGTGTTACTCACTTAGCACCAGCGTTAAGTTTCCTTATTATTTTGACAAAAAAGTTAAGAGGGGTATTTATCAATATTAGGAAAGCCTGTGGCAGTCCCATGAACCAGTGGGAATTCTTAAATCTGGAATTGTGTTTAAACCTAATAGTGATAAAGCTAGTCCTCCACTGTCGCCAAGAAGACGGTTCCATCCCAGCATTTCAGGCACTTGTCTGGGACTCACTGCAGAGCTTAAGAAAATCACCTTGTATCTCTCTCTTTACAGGACATACAGGGTGACAAAACACATTTTTTTCTGAATATAACTTTGAGGTGCTGATTTTTAATCAGTTAGGATCTGTATTAAGAACTGCTTGGTTTAAAACTTTTAAGTGTTTGCATTTTATTCTCTCATTTCCACCTGGACATAGAATGATCCACATCACACATTAATCAGAAGGAAAGTAAGAAGACATTAGTCCTGTCTAGTAATCCAATTGTAATCTCCAAAATTATTAAATATCAAGGTGACCTGGAATGAACTTCCTTTCTGTGGACAGTGGCCCTCCTGTAAAATGAACTTTGTTGAATCTGGGGAACTTTTATAGTGAGCAGCAGCTTATCTAACTTGGTCTCTGCTGTGTCGCAATGTAATTGGATAATAAGATGAGTGATGTGGTCTCCTGTCCCTCGTCACAGAATTTGGATGTTGGGAGAAGCCTGCCTCACCCTGATTGGCAAAAACAAGCAGGCTCCTCACCTTGCCCTCCCCTAGCCCTGCCCCTGTGTCGTTATGTGCTCTGTGTGATGACTGAAAATGGCCACGTTTCTTCTTAAACAGTTTTCCATTTTTTCCTACAACCTTGCATTTTCTCTTGAAGTTCTTTTTCCTGAATCAGTAGCACTGTCACCATCACAGAACAAGATTCCAGAGACCCTGCCCCTTCCCCAAGTTCCAGCCGTGGCCAGACTCTGTCACTTGGAGGGTGGAGTCCCTACCTGGCATTTTTCTCCTGGGCCTGTGGAGCCCTGGGATGGGCCCCAGGGAGGCTGTGGACACCACGCAGCTGTGGGCACAATTTCAGTTGCGGGGGTAGGCAGGCCTCTGTGTGTGAAGATGGCACAGAGGTCTTAGTAGATTTAAGAATTCTGTGACCCATAAAAGGTTACGAGATCCTGTTGCTGAAGTTTCAGATTCTGCTAAAGATAGTCAGTTTGCCAGGGAAGACTTTGCCAAAGCCAGGTCTAAATCGGAGGCCCTTGGGCTGGGGTAGGTCAGAGAGCTCCTGCCTCCCCGGAGCCTGGGGCAGTCGGCTGTAGTCAGGGGGACGCCCCACTCCTCCTAGCTCTTCACGTAGCCAGTTCAACAAAGCAACCCCATTGCTGCCGGCAGTTAGGCCTTGTGTCAGGTGCTACAGCATAGGGGTACATGGAGATGGGAGAGACCTAGGCAGAAATGCATGCAGAACTGTGCCCCCTGGGCTGGAAGACGGGTGTGGGCAGTGGAGGTCCCTCGATGCCACCACCATCACTGCCACCTCACAGTGCTTCTTACTCCACCATTGTAGGACCTGCAGCGAGACATTGAGCAGCACAGCGCAGGAGTGGAGTCTGTGTTTAACATCTGCGACGTCCTCCTGCATGACTCTGATGCCTGTGCCAACGAGACCGAGTGCGACTCCATCCAGCAGACCACCAGAAGCCTGGACCGACGCTGGAGGAACATTTGTGCCATGTCGATGGAACGGCGAATGAAGTAAGGACCAAGCTCCCCTGAATGTCTTCCACGTGGTCGGCTAACTCTGTGTTCCCTTCTGAGCCACGTAACGGTGACCCTTCTGTTCATTTCACTGGGGGACGTGCCCAGTATGAGAAAGGAAGGCTTAGCAGGTGTGACCAGTGCTCATTAAAGGAATCATTCAAGGAAGGTATCATCAGAGTCATGTCTTTCCCCAGCTCTCCTGTGTCTCGGGGTGTAAGGAGGGTGGCCGCTGCACTGCTGTGTCCCAGCGTTAAGTACTGGAAGACACCTGTCTCCCCTTGGTTAACCTCCATGAAGCAGGAGCTCGGAGAGCCTGGCAGTCCCACAAGGAGGGTGTCCTGACCAAGAAGTGACATCCTGATTATTTCCTGGAAGCAGTAGACGGGTCTCTCTCCCATTGGGTTAGCACCGGTACAAGGGGAGTTGAGGATGGGACCAGTCAAGGGGGAAAAAGCCACACGAACGCTCTGGTTGAAATAGATGGCTCATATTGAGTTGCTTTCCTCCCCTCAGAATCGAGGAGACGTGGCGGCTGTGGCAGAAGTTTTTAGAAGACTACTCCCGCTTTGAGGACTGGCTCAAGTCAGCCGAGAGGACAGCGGCCTACCCGAATTCCTCAGAGGTGTTGTACACCGTGGCCAAAGAGGAGCTGAAGAGGTTTGAGGTAAAGACCCTCCCCCGCCCGATGCTCCTGTCAGCCAAGGATATGGCGGGTCCGGGATGGCCAAGATGACTTCCTGTAAGGGACAGGCTCCCCGCATCTGCGGCCAGGCCGCCCCATCCAGAGCCGGCTGTCGGCTGGCCCTGCGGGGGGGCACCCGTCCCTGCCGGCCGCCGGGCGGCGAGCTGGGAGGCCTGTTCTGCAGCAGCAGCAGCAGCAGCACCGGCGCAGTTAGCCCTCTGGTGCCGTTCAGTCTGGGGGTGCCCCGCCCAAGGCGGGTGGTCTGGGGTCGGGGAGGGCCGTCTCTGGCGCTGACGCCCCCTGTGCCGCAGGCCTTCCAGCGGCAGATCCACGAGCGGCTCACGCAGCTGGAGCTCATCAACAAGCAGTACCGGCGGCTGGCGCGCGAGAACCGCACCGACTCGGCCAGCAGGCTGAAGCAGATGGTGCACGAGGGCAACCAGCGCTGGGACAACCTCCAGAAGCGGGTCACGGCCATCCTGCGGAGACTCCGAGTAACCTGCTCTCCGTCCCGGGCTATTTGTAGATTGTGGGGGGTGGCAGGAGGCTGACATGTGATATCAGGCCTGTAACAAAGCTGCGGATAGAAGATTTCATGTGAGGCCTGAGCTGTCGTAACATTCCGCTAGCACAGCCCTCCTTCTCTTTAAACCCAAGCTGCCAGTGCTCTTTTTTATTAAAGAAGTTATGTGCCAAAGAGCAGGTTTCTTGAGCAGAGCCTAGGTACAGGTTTTGTGTTACCAAACACATCTCTTTTTTTTGACATCTGTAACCCCTGAGGGTGTGCACATTAGAGGAGTCTCGGGCACTGCCATCACTGGGTCTGGTGAAGGTACCTCTTAGTCTGCAAGGAGGCCCACTTTGCCCGCCTGCCCACTTTTGTGTGTCCTGTTGGTTCTTGCACCCTGAGGGATTGTGGAGTTTGGGGGCAGTGATTATCCTCCCAGTTTCAGAGCACACTAACCTCAAAGGATGGGTTTAATTTGGGATGTACACATTCACTGTAGATTTCTGTCATGCAGAAGACACCGTACATCTCCCTTTGTGAGTCCAGGTGTAAACTGACAGGACTGGTGTGGGTTGTGGCTACAGGAAGTGATTCTAATCCTTGCTTCTGTTCTCAAGGCAGAGTGCTCTTGAAACCATTCCAAGAAGGTGAAAACCTGGACTTTTTTTTTTTTTTAACCCTCTCAGGAAGAAATTGGCCACCTTTTCAGATAGCCCCCTTGCATTAATTTCTTTATCTCCTGCTGGTTTGACTGTGACCAGCCTACACCTTTCATTTGGCCCTGAATCCTGGTTTGTCTGAGCATCAGCTGCCTGTCTATGAGGCAGTAATCTGAGAGGTGATAAATCTGAGTCTTCTTTCTTTGAGAAAATACATTCAGAATTTTATTAGTAAAGGCAATGGGACACTCGTCCAGGCTCAACCCTGAGAGCGGTAATTTTCCATCTCAAAGCTACTAAGTCCCGTCAAGCAAAAGCTTCTGCAAAAAGCAAACAGGTGAAAATAGGCACGTGCCTGGCCTGGACTTTGAGGGGGTTCCTCAAAGGACAGAGTGGGAAAATCGCTGACAGACCAGAGAACTACAGAATTTCAAATGCTGAAAGAAGCTTAGAGATCATGATCAACACTCCCACACCCCCACCACCAAGGGTGCCGAGACCCAGAGAAGTCAGGGGCTTTGTGGGTGTCGCATAGCCAGGACCAGACCCCAGGCTCCTGAGCCCACACTGCCCCGCGGAACACCTGGTAGGCCCCTGGGGCTACTCCGGGCCCCTGTTCCCTTCTGCTGAGAGTGACCTTGCTGTCGGCCCGAGCTCTCGTTCCACCATCAGCACAGACATGATTTTCTTCCCCCTTCGCAGCATTTCACCAACCAAAGGGAAGAATTCGAGGGGACCAGGGAGAGCATTCTGGTGTGGCTGACGGAGATGGACCTGCAGCTGACCAACGTGGAGCACTTCTCGGAGAGCGACGCTGATGACAAGATGCGCCAGCTGAACGTGAGGCCCGCTTCCCCTGCTCCCCCAGGGGGGCCCCTCTGCACCGTGGGGCGGACCAAGTACAGGCATCACCCAGTACCCCAAGAGCAGAGTCCAGCGTTACCAGAGTGGCCTGACTGCGTCCACCTGTGCACTGCCGGGTTATCACATGCAAGGATCCTGTTCCCTACAGTCAAGGGGTCACTGAACGAGGCCCTGTGTTCTCTTTGTCATTTATAATCATCCAAGGGCAGAACGCCCTTTAGGTTCCAAGCAGAACTTTGTATGATGCTGCTTCTCCAGCGCTCGAGTCTGAATGTGACCTGCAGGCTGTAACAGGAGGGACACTCTCACTAGTGGGGCCAGGGACAGCTCTCTCTTCTCCCACTGCTACGCGTGTCGGTATCACGCTTTAATCACACTCCTTAGCTAGATTTTATAAGGGGCTGAGAAATGGGAATTTACCTTCCCTGATGTAATGGTACCAGTGAGCATTATTCTATGTCAGCAGCAATAAATGCCTGTTGGAGACCGATGATGGGAAATTTTCTGTTTCCACCAGGTGTCGTTAAGATGAGACCTGACCCTCACATCCAGTAATAGGAAATGTCCATTTGTATCTAACTCTTAGAATTATTTTATTTTATTTTTAACACCTTTATTGTGGTATAATTCCTGTACAGTAAACTACACATATTTCAGATGTACAATTTGATGAATTTTGATAGATGTATACACCCATGAAACCCCCACCCCCACAATCAAGATAGCTAACATTTCCATCACTCCCCAAGTGGTGCAAATATCAAACTCGATTTATCCCTTCCCACTCCCATTTACCCCGGTAACCATAAGGTTGTTTTGTATGTCTGTGAGTGTATTTCTGCTTTGTAGATAAGTTCATTTGTGTCCCCTTTTTTTAGATTCCACATATAAGCAATATCATATGGTATTTTTCTTTCTTTCTAGCTTACTTCACTTAGAATGATGATCTCCAGGTCCATTCATGTTGCTGCAAATGTCATTATTTTACTCTTTTTTATGGCTGAGTAGTATTCCATTGTGTAAATATCCCATATCTTTTTTATGCAGTCATCTGTCGATGGACATTTAGGTTGTTTCCATGTCTTGGCTATTGTAAATAGTGCTACTGTGAACATTGGGGTGCATGTGTCATTTTGAATTATATTTTAGAATTATTTTAATTGGAAAAGTCAGTGCCTGGGAGGGGGGACTGTATGATTGTTTTAGATTATTAAATCTTATGTCACTTAGTTAAAAATTGATGAAGCTAGAGTTTGAAATCCTTTCCTTCTCATATTCTGAATAGGGTTTCCAGCAGGAAATTACGTTAAATACCAACAAGATTGATCAGCTCATCGTTTTTGGGGAGCAGCTCATTCAGAAGAGCGAGCCCCTGGATGCTGTGCTGATCGAGGACGAGCTGGAGGAGCTGCACCGCTACTGCCAGGAGGTGTTTGGCAGGGTCTCCCGATTCCATCGGAGGCTCACCTCCCACACGCCGGTAAGAGGACCGTCCCCCACACAGGGCTTCTGGGCCACCTGAAGTTGATGGGTTTTGTTTTTTAGGGTTTTCCTTTTTTAATGTTTTATTGTTGACGGGAGGTAATAAGGTTTATTTATGTATTTATTTTACTGGAGGTACTAGGGACTGAACCCTGGACCTCGTGCACGCTAAGCATGTGCTCTGCCACTAAGCTACGCCTTCCTCCCCAGCTCCCCCAACCCCACTGAAGTAGATGTTTGACTTCTTTTTTTTTTTTCATTTTTAAAATTATTTATTTATTTATTTTTAGTTCTTTTTTGTTTTGTTGGGGGAGGTAGGTAGGTTTACTTGTTTATTTATTTAATGGAGGTACTGGAGATTGAACCTAGGACCTCATGCATGCTAAGCATGTGCTCTACCACTTGAGCTATACCACCACCCCCACTCACTCCATTTTTAACGAATTGGAAAACTTACTGTATAATGGTTAACAGTGATTTCTTTTATGGTTTAAAAAAAGCAATGTTTCGGGGTTTGGGGGTTTTCTTTTAAGTATAGTCGCTATACAGTATTTTGTAAGTTACGGTGTACAATATAGTAATTCACAACTTTTAAAGGTTATACTCCATTTATAGGTATTATAAAATATTGGCATATACCCTGTGTTGTACAGTAGATCCTCATAGCTTATTTTATACCCAGTAGTCTGTACCTCTTACTCGTCTACCCCTCTGTTGCCCCTCCCTACTTCCCTCTCCCCACTGGTAACCACTCATTTGTTCCTTGTGAGTCTGCTTTAAAAAGCTGAGTTGAAAATGTTCATTCTACTCTTACTAATATAGAGCCAATAATTACTTAGAAGCCACCATTTCTCAATGGAAAGGATGGCCCTTCTGAAAGTTCTTGCTCCTCTTACCTGCTTCCCACGGATTCCTCAGCATGGGGCTTCTCTGGCACGTGTCAGCACCCCTGGGACACGTTCATAACTGGTCTGGTTTTGCTTCCAGTAGTAACTTCGGGATGTATTGGCCTTTTCTTCTCTCTTAGTATTTGTGCCTTTCTAGTGCTTTGTTCTCACCTGACACTCCACAAGCACCAGCTTTCAAAAGCAGCTATGATGTTTCCCCTGGACAAAGGGGCCTTTGGGAGGCACAGGTGGAGTCAAGGCCATTATTCACAGCTCACTGCTTTTGTGTGCCGGAAACTTCCCTGGTGACCGCTGACCAACACGACTGGCCACCTTTTCTATTTTTGTGTCTCCAGTGGGCCAACTTGAAACATAATTTCTGCATTAGAGCTAGCCTCAAAAATTACCCTACAAGTCCCTCAATTTTATTTTACTTTCTTTTTCTCAGCAGAGGTACTGGGGATTGAACCCCAGACCTCATGCATGCCAAGCATGCACTCTACCACTGAGCTGTACCCTCCCCACTCAACTTTAAAATATAGCCTTTTACAGTCATCTTTCTTACAATCATTGTAACACAGAGTAAGATTCTGTATTCTGAACAATAAGATTAGGGAAAAGGAAGAAAGAACCTGGTCTCTGAAGTTGTGAATTTCATCTAGAACACTCTAATGGCCTTTAAAACTTTTTTTTTTCCTATTTTCTGACTCTTGGATGAACCTGCCATTAACCGACGATGAAACTTTGTCCTCCGTTTCCTTATCTTCTATATAAAGATATTTAACTTAGATTTCAAATTTCAGGGTTTCCTAGGAAAGACGGTAGAGTTTTGGAAGCTACAGGTTGTAGGCCCCACACGTGATAGCCTAAAGGGGAACAGCCACACACAAGGCTGGGGAACCTCGTTCCGTTCAGAGCTTCCTCAGAAACGCTGGTGGTGGCTGGTGGGGCAGACTTCTCATGCTCTTCATAATTGCAGTAGGCCATGATTTGGGTAATTCTGAGAACTGGACACTCCCGCTCCAGGGTTTGGAAGATGAAAAGGAGGCCTCTGAGAATGAAACGGACATGGAAGACCCCAGAGAGATCCAGGATGACTCCTGGCGTAAAAGGAGAGAGAGCGAGGAGCCCTCGTCCCCTCAGTCCCTTTGTCACCTGGTGCCCCCAGCGCCAGGGCCCGAGCGCTCCGGCTGTGAGACCCCCGTTAGCGTGGACTCCATCCCACTGGAGTGGGATCACACAGGTGACGTGGGGGGCTCATCCTCTCACGAAGACGACGAGGAGGGCCCGTACTACAGTGCTCTGTCAGGTACGGACCCGTCCGGCTAAGTTCCCAGCCCCTGAGCCACATGGCCAGCTCGCGATCAAAGTCCAGCGCCCAGCTGACCCAGACTTCGTGTGGCTTCCCGTGTTCTGTCCTCCCACCTTTGACCTACCTGCGGGTCAGCTCACTGCCATCCCTGGGGGAATGAGAGGGAGAGAGAGAAGAAACTCATGCTGGGACGTGAAGGCTCTTCACTGATGGCTCTGGATATATGGGAGCTCATTGGTGAACTTCTCAGTCAAGTTTTTCAGATGAAACATCCATAGATTTCCTCTGTTCTGTCTGTGCACTTGCCCTCCCCCACCACGGCTTCAGTCGGTCAGGAGTTGGCTGAAGAAAATCCTGGCTTTTTAAAGGTTTTTCATGAAACAGATAAAGGGTAGTTACGTTTCTCCTCCCCGGTGACAATGTTTCTATTGTTTTAATACTTGGGCATTCATCTGCAGACGCCTGCAGCAAGGAAAATGACATTGTTCTTTTTCAGATGTAGAAATCCCCGAAAATCCTGAGGCCTATCTTAAAATGACCACAAAAACTTTGAAAGCGTCTTCTGGTAGGCCCCTGCCCGTGCATGTGTCTCAACATGGCAGCCCCCTGTGGCGCACACCGCATCCTAAACCTCGCTCCCGCATCATGTCTGACCCTGCCTCTGTGCACACCATGCGCCTTGGTCCTCGTGTCATGGTGTATTCGCACTGCCGTACTCACACGTAGCTGCGTGCTCCATATAAAACCCGCCCAGACCAGAGCAGTCCCCACGCCATCCCCCACCCCGACCCCAGGCCTGTGCAGAAGGGAATTTTTCACGGTGCCTTTTTGTATTTTTATTGTCCCTCCATCTAACTCAAGTCCTTTGGCATGGGCCAAGCTTTCTTCATGGTGGCTTGGTTTGGAACTATCTCCTTGCTTACGGTGATTTCCTGGGAACAGAGTGGGGATGTGGGGTGGGGTGTGTGCTTTTGCCTTTGCTGCAGGAGAAGACACCTTCCTTTCCTTGACTTGCAGCTCCGACCTTTATTCCCTACCCAAGGCCCACCTGCAGTGGTGAGGTGGTGCCACAAGCAGCCCTTTGGTCCCCAAGTCCATCCTCATGTTCACTCTTCCCATCGTTCCTGAGAGGCCGTCAGTCCTCGTGGCCCACGGACCTGGCCACACTGCCAGTGCCCCCACCACAGAGACCCCGTCTCCAAAAGGACTCTCACCCACAGCAGATCATCTGTTTGTTGTGCTCCATCGTGAACCCATCTAGTGAAGGCCCAGTGTCGCTCAGTTGCATGAGTCTCATTTCATTCCCTTCTGGGACATACTGACATTTTGCAAACATGCATGCTTTGCAAGGAAAGCTGCAGAACTCATGTTATACTGTAACCTGATGCCATGTTACCCATGACCTTTTTTTGTGTAACTAAATATGAATCCTTTGGTTGGAGAGGATGGACTGTCACTTGCTATTTATTTGTTTCAGGTAAATCCATTTCTGAAGGCCACTCGTGGCATGTTCCTGACAGCCCTTCCTGCCCCAAGCGTCACTACAAGCAAACGGGAGGTGATAGGAACGTACAGCCCAGTGCCCCCGATTCCAGCACCCCTTATAAACCAGCCTATGTAAGTGTTGCCTCCACTGGGAGTACAACCCAAGTGCATGAGTAATAGTTAAAATTTTTAAAGAGAGATTTGGGTGTATGCTGTGTGTGCTGACTCCCCAGGCATATTTTTGAGTTGATTTTCCCATGGGGAGGGTATCTCTGCTGAACTGTCCATACTTCATTAGAACTCTGGCAAAACTGACTAGACTTAGAGATGAGTGTCTGGCTAAACACCCTCTTTGAGTGTTGACATGGCATGACCGTGATTATTACTGTTGAGTCAGTCATCCCTGCAAACAGTGGAGAAGCAAAGTGCTGGCTTTCCTGAGCTGCTCCTGAGCTCCCAAACCTTATTATTGCTATATTTATCTTGACTACACATCCTATTAAAAAAATTGTGACTTCATATTCAGAAAGATTTCACAATGTGCTGTGGTAGACCTGGGTTTGGTTCCCAGCCCTAACAATAAATTGTTCTAAGGCTGTAAACACTTTACCTTGCCTCTATAAGCCTTCCTCACTTGAGGATAAACATGTCTTACATAATTGTTGTTAGGTGTAATGTGTATGAAGGTATAAAGAAGGCCCTCAGAAGTGGTCACCATTATTATTACTGCTGTATATGGCTGGTGGCGGTGGTGGTTGTATCAGTGACTGTTGTTCCTTAGTTCCTTAACATGGTCTGGCTGTGCAGCTATTGGGGGCCAGCCAGCCTAGGATTTCATGTTGGCCCCAGATCATTCTCAGTACAGAGAATTAGTGACGAGCAAGTTGAAATTAAAATGTTTTGTACATTTTTGGTGCATCTCTTAGAGAAACCAAAAGCCATGTAAGCATCACTAGATCAGTCCTCAGAGTGTCCTCTTTGTGTAGGGGTGCATATTGCCAGATAGTTGGAGAAGAGTCCGCTGGTGTAGTCATTTGATAATGGGTTGTCTGTGCCCAACTCAGATCCTCTTCCTCCTGCTCAGCGAGCAGTGTCATTTTTCATCTGCCCCTCTGTGGTGGGGAATAAGACCTGGCAGTCCCGGGGACAGAGACCCCCGCACCTCACCTTTGTTTTGTTTGCACCCAGGGCCGTGTGGTTTGGCCTTTCCCGGTGACTGTGCCTGTGCTCCTCGCCTGGCCACTTTCAAAAGCTCAGCCTTTTGTGTGTGTGTGTCTGCAGCCACAAAATGAGGGTTTTGGTTTTTTTTTCATTCCACACAAATAGGCCATATGGACACAATCCATAGAAAAGCCCGGCTTTTCTAAAAACAGATGCATTTATTTTTGGAAAGGCCTGAGACAACAGCCCAGCCAGCTCTATGATAACAGAAGCGTCAGTATGTGCAGTGAAAGATAAACGCTCGATGATGAATGACCCTGAGAGGTGGATTTGTCCTCTGTGTGTTTCTAATTCCCGGTGATGATAATGCCGGTCACAGAGTGACTGGGAGGGATGACTAAAATTTTGTAAAACACTGTGCACATGTAGAAGTGCTAACACAGTAACAGTCTGGCAAGCTTAACGATGCTCTTTGCATAGTTCGTCTGAGGGGCGTTAGGACGCCTCAAATCAAATCAGGCCTTTTATCCCCAGTGTTGACATCTCACCTGCTTCCCCTCCCTGAGGCTTGGCTGAGGCTTTATTTCTACCATCAGCTTTGCTGCCAGCCATCCACCGAAGTGCCTCTGTATTCCCAGCAAGTTGCCCTTCGAAGGAAAGGGCACCCATATCATCATTTCTTACCTGTTAATATGAAGCAGGACATTCTTCAGACCGCCTTTAACATGTATAGATGGTAACATAAGAATTGTCTCATTCTAGGTAAAGCTGCTGTTATCTCCAGGCGCTGATGGGGACAAGGAAGACCCACGAGTCCTGAACGGCAGCCCCCAGCAGGAAGACGAGGGCCTGGCCGCTCTCACCGGGCAGCAGTCAGGTACAGTTAAATCAGGTGGTTGTTAAGATGTAGAGACTGTATTTGGGGTTCTTTGGGTATTTACTTTATTAGGTTTTTTTGTTTTTTTTGTTTTTTTGGGGGGGTGGGAAGGTAATTAGATTTACTTATAAATATTTTTAGAGAAGGTACTGGGGATTGAACCCAAGACCTTGTGTGTGCTAAGCATGTGCTCTACCACTTGAGCTATGCCCTCCCCTTGGTTGGATATCTACTTTAAGTCATTGCTCGACAGAAAATTAATTAGGAATTGACCAACTGTATAATTCATAAACTTGGCCTGCAGCAGCCAGTGTTATTTTAGAACCAGCTGACTTGTACTTATGAACAGATGCCTAGGCTGTTCACTTTACCTTTGAAGCTATTTATTGACAAAAGGACCCTCGTGTGATGAAGTGCCTGTTTTCACCGGCATGACTTCACTTGTATGTAAAGTTCAGACACAAAGATGATGATCAGATTTGTCAGGTGCCTCCTCATGAGACCATGAAAGTAAACGACTCAGCTGAGTCTAGAGCCAAGCTCATAGCCTTGACCTGACCGTTCATGACATGAGAATGTGCCTCACAAACGGCGTGCACGGGAGTGCTGAATGTGGGACCCCAGCGCGTGCGGGACGTGCTGGGCCTCCTAGCCGCCCCCTACCTCCTTCCCGCCTTCGTGGGGATGGCGGCCCAGGCCTTGAGCCAGAGCAAGGGAAGCATGCAGCTCCATACTCGGGGGAAGTGATAACCCCCACACCTCCTGCAAGGAGCAGCCCCTACAGGTTTTATCACAGTGACCCCGAATTAGTTGGAAGCAGAGAAATCTGTTTACGTTATTGCTTCTTTTTATTGGTGGCTTTTTATTCCAGGTGCCTTTGACAGATGGGAGCTGATCCAAGCGCAGGAACTTCACAGTAAACTCAGACTAAAACAAAACCTGCAGCAGCTGAACTCTGATATCAGCGACATCACCACCTGGATGGAAAAAACCCAAGCGGAGCTAGAGACGTTAAAGCTGGCCAAGCCTCCCTCTGATGTGCAGGAGCTGGAACTGCGGGTGAAGAGGCTGAAGGTGAGTGAGAGCGTGGAGGGGCGGAGGAATTCAGAACGCACATGCTGATGCGGGCGGCGCATCAGGGAGACCTGTAGCACGTCGTGTGTGGTGGTGGGCAGTCCCTCCCGCTTCACTTCTGTGACTGGCAGGGACCCCAGTGCAGACTTGTTACTCCACCCTGAGGAGCACCCACAGGTGACCCCAAAGCCCAGAGCAGTGCTGGGGAGGTGTGGCTCTGATCTGACTTCAGAGGCATCCCTGGGGCACGAGTGGCCGATGACCAGGCTTAACACTCCCTTCCAAACTATGTGCAGTCAAGACTTGGGGGGAAGTGTTGAGGCTGGGGAGGAGGACCAGCTCAGCTGTGAGGGTTCTGCGGCCTGATCTGGTTACTCTGCTACGCAGGGAGGGTCTGTCACCCACACAGTCCTTGCCCCACTGGGAGCAGGGAGGGGTGTCCAGTGTGAGCCCTGCACTTTGGGGGTGCCCTGAACATGAGCTGGGCTCCTAAGAGAACCCAGGGCAGGGGTTCTGTGGTACCCGGGCAGTCTTCACGTTTGTGCTGTTGTTTTACTGTGTGCATGTCAGGGGTTACCATTCATTCTAAGGAATGATACTACTGTGATGTGTAAGGGGACATGCAGGGTAGCCACGTGGGCTTTACCTGTGAGGCTCTTTAACCTGATCCAGACACGGTAAGTCGACCAGAGGTCAGCGGGGTCTGTTCACGCCTCCGGTGCAGCTGGTTCACCAGGAGGCAGGCCTCCGCTCTCAGCCTGGTCTGCTGGCCGCCAGGCTGTGACCTTGTAAGGCAGCTCCCCCACCTGATGCTTCTCAGCCAGTCACAGGCGACGTTGCCCTTGTATCTGGGGCCACGGCTTGGAGAAGTGTTTGGAAGATCCGTTCCCCACCGAGGTTCAAAATGAACCCTGTATCACTAATTGCCAAGTGCCTGACCCAAGCTTTTCCCTCTGTGGTAGGAGATATTAAAAGCCTTTGACACCTACAAGGCATTATTGGTCTCTGTCAACGTGAGCAGCAAGGAGTTTCTGCAGACCGAGAGCACCGACTCCAAAGAGCTCCAAGACAGAGTCGGCCATCTGAGCCTGCGCTGGGACGCAGCCCAGGGCGCCGTGGAGAGCTGGAGAGCGGGCTTGCGGCAGTCGCTCATGCAGTGCCAGGTACGCTGACTCAGCACCCAGCCGTCCCCGCGGGCACCCGAGGCCCAGTCCCGGGCAGAGCCAGGCCCGCGTGGGTGGGGGAAGCAGATATTTATATCATCGTCAGGCTGCTCTGGAGCAGACAAATACGGCTTGTGTTAGGAAGCATGTGCTTTACCATTTGTTTCCAAAGAGGCCCACTGCTGTCTCAGGGACCTGATGCTTGCCGTGCGTTCCCAGGCTGCTGCCCAGACCCACCCATGGTGTAAGGATTCCAGCAAGGGTTCCAGTAATGTCACACCAACATTGCTGCATGTCTGTCCTTTGTCAGGAAGACTGGATAGCAGAGTGATTAAGAGACCTGGCCCTGGAACAAGGAGCAGTTTAACCAGCTCTGTAGCTTTAGTGTGACTGTGGGCAAATCACTGAACCTTCTAGACCTCAGTTTTCTCATCTGAGAAATGGGAATACTAGTGCCTCCCGCGCAGGGTTCTTTTTAGGACTACATGCATATAACCTTAATCTAGTACCTGACACATAGTAAATGCTCAGCCCACTTAGCTCTGACCCCATCACAGAGAACACGAGCCCACACGCAGCCCTGTCCCTGGGCCACAGCCTGACCTCTTGGGGTGTCTCCCTTGAACAGTGAATCCAGCAGGTTTGTTGAGGAATTTGTGTGGCCTTCCTATGTCATACCAGGTGTGGCATTCTGAGCCCCACCCTTCTGTCAGCACTTTTCACTTGGCACAATTCACCATGCCTCTTAGGACCGTGGCAAGCGTGCCCTCCTCTGCTTTCCCTGGGGGTCCCTGGCATTTAGTTTAAATCTAGCCCTTTTACTCACTGGCTAAAGACGAGAAGAGCAGATGATGATGATGGGTTAGAAACAGCAAGCCACTTCCCAGCACACCCGCCTCTGTAGTCTAAGAAAGGGCAAAGCCATGACGTCTGTTGTTTTTAAGGACTTCCACCAGCTGAGTCAAAACTTGCTGCTGTGGTTAGCGAGCGCCGAGAGCCGGCGACAGGAGGCTCATGTCGCTGACCCGGAAGCAGATCCCCAGGTTCTCCTGGCGTATCGGGAAGAGCTGATGGTAAGTTTCGTCCTCCATTGTCCTGCACTCCCACTGGCCTCTTCGGGAGGTCAGGAGTTAGGTGGCCTCGCCTGGCATTTCTGGGACCAACACCCTCATGGTGTTCTGGCCTCGTGTTCCAGTTGGTGTCTACGGAGCATCCCTTCGTTGTTCTGAAGCAGGATGAGAGCAGGGACCAAGAGCCATGGTCCAGAGCAGGAAGGCTTCAGGACTCAGAAACTGGGGGAGCAGGTGTTTAGCAGGATCCTGAGAAACTTAAGGCTGTTTGCAGTACTTTTCCCTCATGAATATGGCTCACGTGGGGGGCAGCATGGTGCTCAGCAGCCCTGCAGCTGTGATGAGCTGCATGAGTTTTCTGTATCCACGTAGCACAGTCTTGCCTCTTGGAGGGCAGTTGTGTTTTCAAGTATTTATTTCACCGCCAAACCAAGATGAGAGCCATGTTTTCTCACTTGCACTTAAAGTGACATTTTTATCCATATATTTGAATGTGGTTTAATTTAAAAAGCTAACATTTAATCAAAGTGCTGGTCACTATTTAAAAAATATACTTTTGTACTAAAATCTTTGTAAAGCCCCATTGTCCATTTACTCTGGTTTTTTTTTTTTTAATGGAGGTACTGGAGTGTGAACCCAGAATGTCGGGCATGCTAAGCATGAGCTCCACCACTGAGCTGTTGCCCACTCACTCCCAGCCCCACTGTCCAGAGCCACTCTGTCCAATAGAACTTTCTGCAGTGATGGAAATGTTCCCTATCTGCGCCGTCCAATGTGACAGCTACTCGCTACGTTAGCAGTGGAGCACTTGAATTGTGGCTGTTGCGACTGACCCTGAACTTTTAATTGATACACGTAGCCACGTGTTATCTAGTGGCTACTGCATTAGACATCAAGCAAGACATTACAAGCGGACTCACGCGATGCCTCTGTATTTCCAAATAATATGCTTAAGCTGCACTTCCTCAGTGTACCCACTTTAGATGTTCCATCAACTTCCTGCCATAGTGGATGAGGGCCTAGTCTTCCCACACCAACCCGTCAACTCCTTTGCTCTAATTCCTCCAGCATCACAGTTGTTTCTAGAATGAGGAGGTCAGGTGTGACCCCTTTGCTTTCTGCATTATGCCAGGCTTGAGGGCAGACAGGCAGATAGGAGAGGAAGGCGGTTCTGGATTGAGGACCACCCATCATTCATCCTGGAACTTTCCCAGCACTGAGAAAGCTTCTTCCAGCCACAGTAGCTTCCCTTTTGATAAACAGCTGTTTCACACAGGTTTTTTTTTTTAAGCAACTGGAAAAGGAGCTAGTGGAACGTCAACCTCAAGTAAAGTCCTTACAAGACATTTCCAACAGCCTTCTCATCAGGGGGCATGGAGAAGACTACATCGAGGCTAAAGAGAAGGTACATGTTATTGAGAAGAAACTCAAACAGTTACTTGAGCAAGTGTCTCAAGGCTTACTGTCCCTGCAGCAAACCCAGGTGAGTCCCTTGGTGACTTTGAAATATAAAGATGTCCTATTAGATGCAAATGGGAAAGCAGTGCTGCAGGCTTGCTGCTGGGGAGGCCGTGGGCATGTGGCAGTAGTCGGAGTGGGCATGCTCCTTTCTAGCTGTGTGGCCTCAAGTCACCAAAGCTCTTGGAAGTCTTTCTGTCATTTGTTAAGAGGGAGATAACAGTAGCACCCATCAGTGTGGCTGGGGTTATGGAAAACAAGCCGGGCCCCTCTGTGTTTCTGCCTTCACGCCTTCACGTTTCTCCCGTGACAGTTTCTAATCCACTCACCATCCTGGTCACTCTTCTGATCACGCTCATTTGTCTGCTTTCTCCTCTAAAATGATCCAGCTCAGAACAAATGGACCGTCCAAACCACAGCCTCTCTAGATGTAGGGCAGGCCTTCCCCTCCACTCTAGATTATTTCCTCCTGTGCAGCCTGGACTGTAGGGCCACGTGATTACTCAGTACCCACAGAGAGCTCACTGTCAGACCGTCCCCACAATGTGTGCTATGGGTTTTTAATGCAAGTGGCTGGCCTCCCCTTGTTTGAGGGAGGCCCTGTTAGAGGGGAGAGTGAGAGCACTAGAAGCCCCTACTTCAAGAAAGATCAGAGTCAGGGAGGAGTGAGCGATGCAATGAAGAGCCTGCAGAAAGCAGATTTCTTGTGCTCTTGAGACTACTCAGAGCCTTCTCTTTCCCCGAACTGAACTCTTGGGGTGTGGATTTCAGAACCCAGACTCATCTCTGCCCAGCTTGGACGAGGTAGACGCTGGACAGCCTCTAGCCGCATCTGCGCCAGCTCCCCAAGCCGAGGTGAGAGCCCCTCTCTGCCCGCAGAGCCGCACTGGGGATTTCACAGTTGCTGAGATGACGGAACCTGGGCCTCCAGGGCCCCATGCGGTATTTCGTAATAGCCCAGATCTGCTTCAGCCTGCTGTTCAGTGGAGGGGCTCACTCCAAAGAAACATTAGAATACTTTTAAAGAGCTGATTCCACAGCTGTCTTCTGCTCAGTATTTTCCTTTGGGATCGTGGTGGTTGTGGAAGCTGGGAGCCCTCCCAGCACTGCTGAAGGGGCTTCCTCCTCGCTCCATCAGCAGTCGGCGGGCTGGAGTATGACACTCATTACTTTAACCCAGTTATTTCTGAGCTCAGAGAGTTTAGTCTCAAATGCATTACTCTAGTCTCAAAAGCTTGGCAAGAAGACAACCTAAGCAAAGGTGTGTAATTTAAGAAGGAAGAACATGTCATCATTGACGGGGCTAAACTATCTTTAGTTTACTAACTGGCTTATTTTTATCCAGCAGTTGGGAGCAGAGAGAATTACAAAAGACAAGAACAGGACAGACAGCAGGTAAGGGCACTCCAGTGACAGCAGTGCGGTCCCCTTGTCACATGCTCACCACAGCCGTCTTGCCGATGCCAGTGTCAAGGTCTTTGTAAAAACTGGTTTACTGGTTTTCTTCCATTTGGAAGGGGTTGGGTTTCTCTTCCAAAACTGAACCCCAGCTGTTGGGCCTGTTTTAATCTCAGGTCCCATGTGTCTGTCTTGACACACGCAGGGGTCAGGTGACGCGGGCGGGTTTTGCCTCTGGACCCTCCTGAGCAGCTCTCCACCTCCTCTGTTGGCAGGGTGCCCGGCCCCGCTGGCCCCGGCAGCTCACGGCCCCAGCGCTCCTTCCTCTGGCGGGTGATCAGGGCGGCGCTGCCCCTCCAGCTGCTGCTCCTCCTGCTGCTGCTCCTGGCCTGCCTGCTGCCCTCCTCCGAAGAGGACTACAGCTGTACTCAGGCCAACAACTTTGCGAGGTCCTTCTACCCCATGCTGAGGTACACCAACGGGCCACCCCCCACATAAAGGCTCGGCCTGGCCTGCAGCGCCGTACCACCACCTGTTTACACGGGGTCGGACACACGGCCCCAGGCCAACCTGTGAGTGACTCTGAGCGTTGGTCCAGGGACATACCTGCTGTGGACACCTCCCTTCCGGGCTTGACCAGAGAGAGGTCTTTCGGGACCCAGGGCAGCTTTCAAATGATCTTCCCCGGGGTAGGGAACCCGGGCGGTAGTTACCCCGGGCAGTTTGGCAAAGCTAGCTGATTGGTTTCATGATCTGGGAACTGCAGTTTCCTAAAGAGCCAAGCACTTTGTAAATTCTGATTTGGAAAACCACATTATTAGCAAAATATGAACAACAGAGTGTTCGTCACATATATTATGGAAACAAACAAGCAGATTCCACCTTAGAAATGGTTCAGAAACTCACATGTACCCTTGGCTGACTGAAACAATCATGTTTAAAATGTTTAGAATTAATTTTACTCCAATCAGCTAGCAATCTTGAGCTATAGGTTATAAAACCAAAATGTTCTCTTCAGTACGTAGGTAGGTCTGCTCTTTTATATTGCTTTAAAATTTTTAAAGAAATTATATTGCATGGATGTGGTTATTTGTGCATATTTTTTTAACAATCCAGAATCTGTATGAATAATGTAAACTTTGATTTTTTTAAAAAAATCAATCAGATTTTAGCTTGAGCTTTTGACTAATGTACAGTAAATGCCAAACTACATACTTGGTAGTGACACTTTTGTAAGTTAATTTTGTAAGACTTTTCACATTTAAAATGATGCTTCAGGTTTAACTGGCCATGGGGTGGGGGTTGGTACAGAAACCTTAAGCTGTTTGTGGTATGTACAACTCAGCTATTTCTCATTAAAACAAGACAAAAATGCCATACTTTTGTCATACTGGATTATATTACAAAGCAGTTAAATGTTATATATAACCTTCCATAGAGCAAAAATTATTTTTCAAATATTTGGGGGGATTCATGGGTTTTACTAATTTTGAGCTAAGCTTTATATTCTACTTATTTAACTTTGTACAGAATAACCTACGAGGTCTAGAAACCCACAACCCGTATAGGTGGAGATTACCCTGTGTGGGAGCCCCCAGTGCTGTAGGGGGCGCTGAGGCCAGCACAGTGTAGAACGTGGACATGAAAGGAAGGACCATTTCACCCAGATTTTTCTATTGCCAGCTCTCTCTCCAGAGCGAACTAACACATACTATTTAACAAACGTTACAGACAAAGCCATCCACCTTCCGCACGATTCTAGCACCACTGTTCCCCACCTAAACAAAGAGTGTGATTAGAAGTTACTGATCCAGTTCCTTGGTTACCTGCTTCTAACCTGCATCTCTTGACACTTGGGAGACACCACGGTCTTAGAGCAACCTCGGTCCCTCCCTCCTCCGCAAAGTGCAAACCTGGGGGACGCCAAGGAAGCTTGTCAGGAGGTGCAGCTCAGACGTCAGCGCCCGTGGCCCTTCTGTGGTCAGACACCTGGGACGTGTGCAGTTCACCAGCAGCTTTACTGAATGAAGAGACTCTGTCATCTGTCTTCTCTTTACCAAATCGTTGGAAGGGATATGGAGGCAAAGGTTCTTTTTTTACTGTGTGACTCTCCAGTCTTTTAATTCTAAAGTAATTCATCGCTTTTCATGGACTACAATAATCCTGAAGGGAAATTTAAGTAACAGTGTTGCCCACACTTTAAGCCCTTGAGTTGGTTGGTTAGAAGGTCCTTGCTCCAGCTTCACCAGAGGCAAAAGGCAGAATCTCTACTTCCTTCCCTTCCTTCCAGCCCAAAGGAGGTGACTGTCCTAGAGACCTTTTCTGTCCATAAGGAGGGACTCTGGGGGCAAAAGCCCAAGATGCAAAGAAAGGAAAGTGCTGTTTGCATTTTTAAGTCTGACGATGCTCATCAGTTCTCAGGATAAAAGCCTTTGCGTCTCGAGTCTGTACTCCAGGCTTCTACCCCAGGGGAAGCCTTCCCCCACTCAAAGCTCAGTGTATTCCCTAGCTCTTGTTATGAGATGATCTGTGTTTCACACCTTCAAGAGGCTTTGCATCTTCCATTCCCTACTTGCAAAAGAAATTTTCAAATGACTCTCGGCACTAAGTTAACTTCAGTGTGAATCAAATACTTTTCTCTCCATCCCTAATAGGGTATAATACTAATTGACTCAGATGAGGTAATGACAGAAAATCTACCCACAAAACTGACGAGCCGCATCCCAGGACTTTTTTATGTGTGAGCTGCAATTGTATTTTGAGCACACAGTGCCTACGGTCATAAATCACAAATACAAGGCTAGCTGACTAAAGATTAAATTGCTGCTAATTAAAAAGTCATCAACAGTTTGTCAGAGATTCTTAACTCTTGCACTTGTATGTAAGCATTTTGTTGATGTACCTTGTTCCAGGAAAGGTGTCTGTGGTTTTCGTCAAATTCTTAAAGGGCTCTGCAAACCTAAAATGGGATAGAATTCAGAACAGAATTGGTACACAGACTACTTCACCTAATTACTGTAAGTTTATACTCCCAACAAAAACCAAAATTATGAAAAAACACTTTATTTAGCTTATGTCACGTTAAACTTATTTCTGCAACAGTTCCATGGACATTAAAGGCATATAGCAAAGAAAAAGTAGTACCTGGAGGAATAGAAAGCAGATCTCAAAATCTACTTTCACACAACAGCAAACATTCATTTGTCAAAAGGCCCAAATTTAAAAGCCTGCTTAATGATGCAAAGCATTCATCGGACAAAAATGACAAGTTACAGGCAGCCAGTGGGTTCTGAGGTACACAGGACCACTGAATAACAAAGTTACAGGACCAACAGTCATGGCATTTAGACACCCAGTACAGACTGCAGTCACAAGAGCTGATCTGGGCTTGCCTAGGCACACGTACCCCCTTCCTGTAAAGGAAGCCCACCGTCACATAGCACTGACTAGCCCCACAAGTGAAGAGGACCCTTGCAATTAAAAGAAAAAAGACCCTCAACTCCAATGCAACAAAAAGGGTTATAAGAATAATATTGCAGGGGATGCACATCTTAGAGCTGCCACTGGAGCAAAAATTCCAGCAACTTGGAGAGCTATAAACACAATAAATGCATGTATTTTGCACAGTGGTAGACCAGACTCCATGGGGAAGCATCACTGCCTAAAAGGTGCGAGAATGTTACACAAGTTAGTATCCAGGAACTACTTCACAGCAACACATCTGGGGAAGGCAGTAACAGCCAGGAGGAGGTGACAGAAGGACCACCCACGAGCTTATGAGCCCAGAATGAGAGGGGAGGAATGATACAATTCATCCTATTTTTTCCCACCTGTCACAGCTGCTATTCGGTAACGTTCATGCAGACCCCGTCTAAACTGAAGGTAGATGGTACAGGAGGAGGCAGCCGTAGCTCTCCTTGATGAGCTGAGACTCAGCTCGAGCAGCAGACTCCTAAAGAAGTCCTGCGGAAGGAAGAGTGCTGGCCAGGCAGGCAGAAGACCTGAGTTCTGGCCCAAGCTTTGCCATAAGTAGTTTTATGACCTTGAGCGGGTCCACATACCCCTCTGGGCTTTAACTGACACACGTATGAAAGATGAGACTGGGCTTCTCGTCTACAGGGATGTGCTGGAAATTGGACAGGTAGGTGCCACAAGCCAAGCCCCACTTAAACCAGAGTAGCTGTGCGTGTCAGATGGCATTTGATGGATTCTGCAGCCTAAAAATATTTTTTCTTCAGCTTTTTTAAACTGCGTGATTTCTTTCAGCACTGGAACTTCAACTGCCTGTGGTCAACTCTGTCATTTACTCCCTATGTGACCTTAAGCAAGTCTACTTAGACTCTCTAGTTTCCATAGCCAGCAAATTGGGATAACAGCAATTATTATGAGCATTAAATGTGAATGTACGAGGCACTTAGCACTGTGTCTGGCACACAGTGTTTCACAAACGTTATTTTTAGGTAATAAACAATGTATTTTTATAATTACCTTCACATAACCTTTATTATATTTAAGACTTTTAGCATCTTAAGGAAATGTGTTAAATCTTATTAAATAAAAATGTTTTAGTGGGGAGGGTATAGCTCAGTGGTAGAGTGTGTGCCTAGCATGCATGAGGTCCAGGGTTCAATCCTCAGTACCTCCATTAAAAATAAACAAACCTGATTATCTCCCCCCACCAAAAACTTTAAAAAATGTTTTGTTTCAAAGTAGACCTAAAAACTGAAGGTTCACCCTTGAATTTGAAAAACTCAATATATGCAAGTTTCTTAGCAGATTTAAGTAACAACCAAACTGTTTTCACATGCTAGAAAATTCTGGAATTGCTTCCACTTAGCTTATATATTTGAATATATAACGTAGGTCTGCCAAGAATTGGGAACTGACTTTTTTTAACTGAAATAAAATATAATTGCCCTTCTAGCTGAGTTAGCCTGTGAAGTAATCCAGATGAAGAGTGTCTCACCAACGAGCTTTTGCTGACTTCGCATTGTTTGTTTCTAATACCATTAAGACCCTCCAGAAATGTTATTAAGCTGACAATGTTCTGTTCTCACCGCATTGTTTTTGAAGAAAAACCTCTTCAAAATTATTTTAGGGTTGAATCTTTTGTATTTAGTCCTGGTGGACAGTGAGCACGTGACAGGCCTGAGGCCAGAGGACGTGGTGAGGGCAGAGGGAATGCAGGTGGAACGTGTGAAAACTCACGGTGTGGCTCTCCGGAGGTAGCCTGCGCGGTCGTCTTTTGGGGCTGCCAGCTCGCTCCCAGGAACCTGTGTGAACACTGTTCTAATGTTTTCTGCATTAAGAATAGTCCATGTTAATTATTTTATTAAAGTGTGTCTATATGATCCCATATTAGACACTCATGTTTTTGGAATTTAGCTCAAATCTCACTCATCTTCCACAAAGAAGTTTCTAGTATTAAACGATTGCTCACAGACCAAAATGGGGGGAAGGGATCTTGCCATATGAGTCTAAGGCAAAGCTGAGGGTCACTTTTCCATGATATATAAAATGTACTTGGGTGGGGGGTTTTTTCAGTACTCTAATTCTCATTTACAGTTGTCAGGTCCTATTCCTCCTAGGTAATTCCTTTTAAAAACTGAACTTGAAGACACAAATCCTTGCTTAGCTATGGGAGAATTTTAAACTGCCTGTGGACCACTTTGTGGGGAGGGACAGTTAGAGACCCTCACAAAAGACGACTTTCAAAAGAAAGCACTATTAAAGAGAAGTGACTAATCTTTAAAGTGGACATGGGGGTTTACCCAAAACCCATAAAAACAGCAGCCTGACTCTGCACACTGGGCTCATCCTTAGGGACACATCTGGAGCTAATGGGAACAGATTCGAAACACTCACCTGAAAGGGGGAAAGGGCCCTAAATAGTCAAAAGAAGAACACCTTTAAACCATAGACCATATCATCTCAACTGCCTGCTTGGCCCAGACCACAGGCTGAGAGACAGCCTTGCCCCAGGGCGGCCTCAGGTTGGGCTGAGTAACCTGTATTCCCAGCACATCCAACTGAGACCTCAGCCAAGAAGAAGTGACCAAAATCGTTACCTCTTGTTCGCGGGCTAAATCCAAATGCACTGGAATAAGCCGCCCAGAGGAGCATGCAGGAGTGTCTGTGGAGGATGAGCAGTGGGCACGTGTGGGCGAGCACACGGGGCTGGCACAGACAGGTGCTTGGACACCTGGGACCAATCTGGTACCCACTCTGGCATCAAAACCAACCTGCAAAGCCTCACTACTTACTAACGGGGCAGTAGCTTGGACCTCATTCTGTTTTGGTTTTTGTTTTTTCAACCTGGTGGTCTCTCTTAGAAATACAATTAAGTCACTGTACGCGGCTGCCTTCTTTGCCTCCACTTCCTGCTCTGTAGCCTCATCTCCTTGTTTGTCGGTGAGGAGGGTTCTGAGCTGGCCGGAAAGAAAGAAAATTTACCTTCTGAAAAACACTGCTTCCCTGGAGTCCAGCTTCTTTCCCGTACTGAGTCTCACTGAGGCTGCAACACTGAGTCACTAAGAAAAATTTCAAATCACCTCAGAATACGGACAGCTGTGCTGTCTAGGTATGTGGTCAAGTGTTTCTGATACAGCTTTGCTCAACTTTTTTAGTAAAATTGCACTGATACCAAAATTAAGAATTATTCAAGATCACCTTAGAAGAAACTAACCTTACGTTATTGACTATAATCTTCCTAATGACTAGGTTTAATTTGGCTGGCACACTCCATATTTACTATTTTCAACAAGAAAATACATGAATCCCCTACCACATAGTAATTTTTTAAAACATCGCAAAAATCACACATGATTAACTCCTCCCTTCCAAAGCATAGCTGTAACTCATTTTATGCATTCACTATGTTCCTGAAAATTTGTACAAAATTTTCAGTTTTTAAAAAGTGAGTTAAAATTGTGATTTCAGAGGTGCTTTGTCATTGTGTCCTATTTAAATTCCACGTGAAATAAGAACTAATATTTTAGTAAGTTTATTTCACCCAGCCCATCATATAAATGTTCTGATAAGAAAATATTTTAAAAGACCCCTAGGGTACAAAAGAATTCTCTCTAGCTATAAATAATTACCCCTAAATATTTCTTTTTTAAACAGAGTTCACAATCTTGTTCAAGTGGTGTGGCTATCCATTCTATACAGTTTGGCCCTGAACCTGACATGCTGATGTGTATGTAGCTGTTCATCCTTCCGTAGGAGAGCACGCCTCACACACACAGCCTGAAGTGTCCCTGTCTGTCCTGGGTGGCTGGTGTGGCAGTTGTGGCTGCCCCAGGGATGCACACTCACAGGAGAAACCCCATTCCTACAAATACTGGTCCGTTCCTCTAGCACACATGCTGGGTCCCTTGGGACAAGAGAGTTTTATGAAAGAGCAATTCCATGGCGGGGAAGTGGGGAGGGTAAAGCTCAGTGGTAGAGGGCGTGCTTAGCATGCACAAGGTCCTAGGTTCAAGCCCCAGTACCTCCATTAAAAGGGGGGGGCAATCCCAGGATTCCAGGGGCAGGGGTATTTAAATCCACACTCCTCCATGAAGGTGATCACACAGACACACAGCCCCCCAAATAATTCGCAGGCTCTCTAAATCAAGAGGGGTGTACCTGCATGAGGATGGCAGCAAGGTCCTAGCTTGTCCACTGGCTCCCTAGATCACGTTCCCTCTGGCCTTAGACAGAGTCATGGTGACATCCGTCCTCATGGGCCTGTGAGGTAAGTGTGTGGAACCAGTTGATTATCATCGTGGTTTTCAATCCTACAATCAAGTGGTCAGGAGGCAGCATACGAAGGACTGTTGGAAGGGGCAGGTTAAGTCGCTACATTCTCCTCCCTTTCTACTTGACAACCCTTCCAGGTCAGGTTTCCACCATTCACCCCAAAACCTGTAAGATGATGTTTTCCAAAGGGCAGAAGGGAGATGGAAAGTAAGAGAGAGCCCAGTGAGATCCCACGAGGCCAAGCAAGACATAAACTGCACTCAGCCGTGCCCCCTGGTGACAGAAAACACTGGTCTTCTCACTCTGACTCCCGGGAGGTGGGGAGGTCAGAGAAGGACGGTACCGACCGAGCCTGGTGTGACCGCACAGCAGAAAGCCCGAGAAGCCCACCCACCCCTGACAGGCTCCTGATTCCCGCTGGAGTTCACGCTGCAGCGTCTGATCTCCTCTGCAGCCTGTCACACCTCAGAGCTGGGCATCACTGAGCCTGGGGGTTCTGGGAGCCCTCTTTGCTCTCACTCGCTTCCACTGGGCTGCGCTCTGGCCCTGTGACCAAGGACTTGCTGTTGCGAAGTGTGTGGGCGTTCAGCATCTCCAGCAGCAGGTCGTAGACAGGGACCATGTTTTTGCACTTCATGTTGAGCAGGTGTTCCATGCCCTTGTTACTAGAAGGACAAAGAGGTGCTGAGATTCCTTCCTGAAGGAGCCATGGGAGGTCTGACATCTTCTCCAACTCTCAACAGAGCCAGCCCTCCACCCCCACCCTGCACTTCCCCCAGCCTTTATTCTCCAGTTCCTGCAACTGGTTCAATGATCTATACGTAACGGTGAGGACAGTGTCCTGTGGGCCCTGGTGTCCCACCACCCACCACCCACCCGTAATGGCCTGACAGTACCCAGCATCACCGAGTGTGATGGGGTCTCACTGTTCACCACAGTTAAGGTCTATAGACTCTGCAAACACTGAATGACCAAACACGGAACGCTGCTACCAGGAGAGATACAGGGTTAGGTTCCTGAGAGTTCCTGGTCCCAACATCTTCATCAGCCCATTAACACATAACTTTTTAAAATCTGTTTATTGTTTCTTGAAATATTTAAAGATTGTTTAACATATGCTGTTGATTCATTAATGTTTAACTCAGCCTATGGCACTAAAACTCATGCCTGAATGAAGCTTACCTAATGTGTGTTTTCTGTCAGGCACCTCGCAGCCTTCTTGTACTTAGGAGCACCGAGACAGTGCTATGCTTGGGGATCATTTTTAGACAGTAAAATGTCCCACAAAGAACAAAGATGCCAAAACAGGGCACTAACTAGACCACGTAACAGGCCTTTGTTTACAGTATGAGAGCAGAAAGGAGAAGCAGAGCATCACCTTGTTTGACTCCAGCTGGCACCGTAAGTATAGGCAACTCAAATTTTTTGCCACTCTGTGCATGTCCTCAAATGACCTTGGAAGTGCCGTGAGTACTAATTTTGGGGTTACAAATAAATTTTAGCAAGCAGGAAAATTTGCAGATAAGGAATCCACGAATAACGAGAATGGACTGACTCTGTTCTCCAAATGGCTGTGTGCTGTACAATCATTAAAGTGGAAACAGGCAAAATCCAGTTTCTCTTCCTCCCCCATGTTAAAATCCTTGAGGTGTGTGTTGTCCTTTCTCACAGCCTCTAGACTTTCTTCCTCCTTCCATCATCACCTCCCCTTTTCCAGCCCCAGGAAAGAGCTGCCCTCATCCCGGAGGACACAAAGCACTGAGCTTCATGGTACCAGTATGAGGCCATCATTGGACACCATCCCTCTCCGTCAGTGCATTTCCATTTCCTGAGTACACTCTACTCATGCCCTGCCTTCCCAAACCTACTGGGCTCACTAGTTCTCTTAGCTCTCACTCTCAGGGAAGACTTTGTGCACCTCCCCATATCACTGGCCTCAAGAGCAGCTCTAGAGCAGCTGGGTTTAACTTCTTCAAGAAAAGACCCCAAGTATATATAAAATAGATAAACAACATAGATAAAATAGATATAGCACAGGGAACTATATTCAGTATCTTGTAATACCGATAATGAAAAAGAATATGTATATATAAACATATAACTGAATCACCATGCTGTACACTAGAATCTAACACAACACTGTAAATCACTTATACTTCAATTGGAAAAGAAAAAAAGGCCTCAGGACCCCAGCCCTGGGTAGTGCAGGAAGAGGTTGCAGTTCACTTTAGGAGAGGAACTAACTGCCCTTTGCAGAACTCCATCAACAAGCTAAAAGCCCCAGCAACTGAGAAACAGATGGGCCACCACTGGAAAGTGCCACAAAGGTCCTGTAAGGACCATCTCACATTCAGTGCCCATTGTGTGCCCATCTTTGGTTACAAGTGTGGGCACTGATGGTGCACCCCCATTTCCTTTCAGGGGTTCATTTTCCTTTTAAGGTGGCAATTCTACCTTATCCATCTCAAACTTGCAAAACCCTTTTTCCAAAGCTCTTCACTCTCCTCTGAGCATGTGCACCACCCTTACCACCACCACCGCCGCCCCTGCAGTGGAGCGGCCCCGACAGGGATCATACCTGGCATGTCTGACGTGAGAAAGGAGCATCAGGAGGTTAGCCAGGCGGACGGACTGCTGCTGGGAGGGGATGCCGCTCTTGGCAATCACCCAGACCAGCGCATCGGTCACGGCGTTCAGCAGGTGAGTCAGCTTCCTGCTGCTCTCAGCCTCCTGGCTTGCAGCAGCTGAAGGGTACATACCTGGACAAAGAATAAAAGTCAAGAGTCATTGCTCTGAGAAAAGGAAACAGAAGTCACGTGCTCAGGCATTCAGCCTGTGTATGTTCTCCAGGAGGGAAGCCAGATGGATCTGGGTTGTCCTGACATCTGCATGTGGGGTGAAACCTTAAAAGCATGGCCTCACCTGTGCATGGTGTCCTTCCCTCTCCGAGAGCCTTCCCTGACACTGATCTGGAAGGGAAAGCCTAGCTGAATGCAGGCAGACCCAGTGGACTTTGCCACCTGGCTGAGAACCGTGGCCGTGCCACAGCAGGGAATGTATTTAGTTGCCTCAGACCATTGCATTGTGTATCAGCCACTGCAACAAATACCTGTATAGAGATGGTCACGAGAGTAATTCAACTCTTAGCCCCTAGGAGGGCCCCTCTTCTAAAGGGAGCTTAATAGACATAAGCTAATGACCACAGCTATACAGCCCCCCGACCATGTGTGCCACATGAAGAAGCCACAGCAGGGCCACCGCCACCTCTGTCCAGGCCCTTGGCCTCTCACTGCAGGTGGCACCTTGCTGGGACAGGAAGACCACCAATTTGGAGTCAGACAGACCTACTTTATATCCACCATCTCTAGCCCTCTGACCCCGGACCAGTCACCCAGCTCATCACTGAGCAAAGCTTACAGGCACGTGTCTCCCAAGGTCCCCACAACCACCTCATGAGGAAGGTGCTTCCCCTAACCTGCCCTGCCCCGAGTTTCATTCCCCTCTGAGTTTAGGATCTAAGATACTGCAGCCTCCCAACAGTTGCAAAATAACAGCTCAGTTAAATCTTGTCCTCACCACCACCAACACTGACTCCTTGATTCTTGGCAGCAGGAAGTAATTAGCTTCTCTTCCAGGCTTTCAGTTTCAAATAATAAATAGCAAATATGTGAAATCAAAAGGAAAGCTGACAACGTTTGACGGTAACGAGAATGAAGGATGGCTGGTACTCTATCACCACAGAATTTGTTTTGAAAGTTTTTGTTCTCTACTTTTATTGGTGTTTTCAGTTCAGTTAAGGCAACTCAGTTCAACACAGTTCAACATAATTCAATTAAGACAAGGGACGTATTGAACCATAATTATGCCAGTGTAGTACTTTGCCACTTCCCTAAAGGCACATCCCTCCATAATGTCCTATGATGCAGTCTGCAAATATTCATCTTTCGCCCAGAAGCTGCTTCTCCAACCCACCTGCTCACCTTGTTCCCCACGGAGGCCCTTCTTGAGACCCGTTCCATGTCCTCAAACCTCCCACTGTCCCCCAGAGCAGATGGCTGCCCTCCCCCTGCCCCCACCCTCACCCAACATGCCCTTGAGAGCAAAGTACAGATCATGTGGCTCCTTTTAATGACTTCCCAGCTCTTGGGGTAGAGACCAGACTACTTATTGCAGTTATCAAGGTACCAGGCCTCTCTCTACACTTTTCATTCTCAGTTCCCAGCCCACGTCACCTTGAACCCTACTTTCAATTCCTTGAACAGGTGATGCACTGACCATGCCAAGCTCTGCTAAGGCCCTTTCTCCCCTCCCTCTCTTCCTCTTCCTCCTCCTCTCCACCCTCCCTTTTCTTCCTTATCTACATCCATTCCTCCTTTAGAGTCCAGCCTGGTTATGAACTTCCCTGTGGAAGCTTCCCTGACCTCCCTTTCCCACCCTAAGTCTGGTTAAGGAACTTTCCTTCCATTACTAGTTTGTTGAGAGTTTTTAGTAGGAATTGGCATTAGATTTTGTCATATGCTTTCTCTGCACCTATTGGAATAATCATATGTTTTTTCATTATTATTTTGTTAATATGTAAGTTATGTTGATTGATTTTTAAATATTAAAGAACCCTTGTATTCCTGGGAAAAATCACACTTGTTTGTAATATATTATTGGATTCTATTTCAAAAAACTTTTTTTGAGAATTTTTGCATCTATGTATATGAGGGATATTGGTCTGTTGTCTTCTCTTCTTCCAATATTGTTGGTCTGGGTTTCCTATCAGAGTAATGCTGGCCTCACAGAATGAGTTGATCTTCAATTTTCTGCAAGAATATACACAAGCTTGGTATTTATCCCTTAAATGTTTGGTAGAATTCTTCCAGAAAAGCCATCTGGGCCTGGAGTTTTCTTTGTGGGAATGTTTTTAACTACAAATTTAATTTCTTTGATAGATATATAGCTATTCAGAATTTTAGAAGTTTCTTCTTGATTGAGCTTCAGTAATTTGTGTTTTAAATAATTTGTCCATTTTATCTAATATTCAAATGTGTGTTCCATATTTTCTGTCTCTCTTTAACCTGCTCATACTTTCCTCTATTCCTAGGACATATGGAATATAGTTATAATAGTTTTCATGTCCTTGTCTATTAATTCTATCATCTGCATCATTTGGGGTCTTTTCCAACTATTGTTTTTTCCTCATTTTAGGTCATACATCCTGCTTCTCTGCGTGATTGCTAACTTTTGATTGGTTTTCCCTGTTAGCTGCTGGGTACTCTTCCATTCCATTAAATATTCTTGAGCTACACTCTGGGATGCAGTTGAGTTACCTGGCAATAGTCTGATCCTAGAGACCCGCTTTTAAGTTTCGTTTGGTAGGACCAGAGCAGCCTTCAGCCTAGGGCTCGCGTTACCTTGCTGCTGAGGCAATACTTATCTGAGTACTAGAGCCAGCGTCCAGCGTAGCACAGGGTTTTCCCTGTGGCTGGTGAGAGAACAATCCCTACCCCGTGTGAATGCCAGGGGTTGTTCTGCCTGTTCCTTTCTGGTTCTTTCCCTGTCCTAGGTTAGTTTCCAAATAAGCATAAGATTAGTGCCCAGTTGAAGATCTGAAGGGGACCCTTGGCAGACAGTAGCTAACGTTTGTAAATCTCAAATTCCCAAATTTATCCCTTCCCACTCCCTTTCCCCAATAACTGTAAGATTGTTTACTATGTCTGAGAGTTTGTTTCTGTTTTGTAGATGAGTTCAGAGTGTCTCTCTTTTTTTTTTTTAGATTCCACATACGAGCGATCTCATATGGTATTTTTCTTTCTCTTTCTGGCTTACTTCACTTAGAATGACGATCTCTAGGTCTATCTATGTTGCTGCAAATGGCATTATTTCATTCTTTTTTGTGGCTGAGTAGTATTCCATTGTATAAATACACCACAACTTCTTTATCCAGTCATCTAAATGTCGATGGACATTTAGGTTGTTTCCATGTCTTGGCTATTGTATATAGTGCTGCTGTGAACATTGGGGTGCTTGTGTCTTTTCAAATTAGAGTTCCCTCTGGATATATACCCAGAAGTGGGATTACTGGATCATATGGTAGGTCTATTTTTAGTTTTTTGAGGAATCTCCATACTGTTTTCCATAATGACTGCACCAAACTACATTCCCACCAGCAGTGTAAGAGGGTTCCCTTTCCTCTACACCCTCTCCAGCATTTATCATTCATAGACTTTTGAATAATGGCCATTCTGACTGGTATGAGGTGATATCTCATTGTAGTTTTGATTTGCATTTCTCTGATAATTAGTGATATTGAGCATTTTTCACATGCCTTTTGGCCACTTGTATGTCTTCACTGGAGAATTGCTTGTTTACGTCCTCTGCCCATTGGGTTGTTTTATATATTTCGTAGGGTCTTTTAAAAATTTAAGATGGAAAAGTGGTTTCTGTCCCTGTATTTACATTAGTGCTACAAATTATTCAGAAAAAAAAAAGCCTGTAACTTCAAATGCTTAAAATTTAGCATAGGAAAGACTCACCTCTCCTGAAAAGTGCGTAATTTTCTGATAGAAACAGAACCCCATTTTCTGAACAGCAATGCTGAACAGAATAAACTCACTTTGAAAACTATTATGATTACCAAGCCCCCCCAAAAGAAAAACCACTTTCTCAAAAGATTTCTTAAATTTGGATTTACTGTAAACAGATTCAACTCATCAACTCATTTACCACCACAGGTTGTAATTACATCACATGCCTGCCTCACCCTCTGTGATTCTGTTAACATGGCAGTTCCTTCAGATGCTGCAGGAGGAACGCCTTGGCCTTAGTCTTTCTCATTTGCATAGATGATGTTTCTAGCTTCCCAACAATACAATATGGTATCTCAGAGGCTGAAATGACTGTAAGGAGCTTTGCCAAACAGAAGGCTTCCCACTGCAGCGTTGTAACCAGAAGCAAATTGCTTTCTAAGGAGCACTTCGCTGCACAGAAAAGAGTTCTAAGTTATTTCTGCAAGTAAGAGAGGCCCCATAATCTGGCATTTCATGGTCCTCCTGTGCCAAGGTGGGAATGTACTTTTCAGGCAAATTTTCCCTTTAACAAAGATGGAGATGAGAGTGAACATTTGAGGCAATGTCTGCAGGTAGATTCAAAGAGAAAAATCAGAGTAAGTTGATTTTCTTCCACAATCAACTTCAAGTGTCCCAGCTGGACATTTCCTCTATGCACATCAACTTAATTACTGGTGTAAACTGGGCCTTCATATTGTTTTGTAAAAGGTGAATCATAACAACAAATGTCAAGAAGGTGCCAGAAGCCCCAAAGCACTTAGGAGTCTTCTTGGCTTTCCCTACAATTTTCATTTGTCCAACAGTTTACCATTTGTACTCACAAACTGTTTTCCAGAACTGGGGTAGGGAGTGTATTGGGTGCAAGGGAAATCTCTTGTCAAACAAGTATGGTTAGACTGGGATTCAAACAGGAAGTACCCGAAGGTTGTCTTCTTTAGGGTCTGTGAGCCTCACATGACCTTTAGATTCCTTCTGCATTTCCCCTTCCCCTCTCCTTCTAAATCTAACCTCTCTCCCACCCAGACCAGCTTTCTCCTGGATAGCACTCTATGCTCTGTACCAGGGTTACTCAGATTATGGTCTGTTACCAGTCTACACAGAGAGAAGTAGAAATTGAGGGTAAGGATTTGGAAACTTTGATAGCAATGGACAGAGTAATTTTAAATCAGCTGAATGTAACAATAAAATTCTAGGGCTTGTATTTTGCACCTTCATTTTTCTAGTAATTTGTTTTTGTTATATTTTATAAAAGTAACTGCCTATAACAATTTGGAAATTAAAAAAGAAAAAGAAACCTGGTCTTCCACAACAGATAGTTTGAGAAGCACTGCTCTATGTGTTTCCCTTTCATCAAAACTAGTGCCAGTGTCGAGAGTACATATTAGAGAGGAAATGAATTTAGGCTGGAGGGGAGGAGGTGAGCTGGCGCTACATCTGGAAGCAGCCTGGGACCCACGCGGCCACAGGTTCTGCACCGAGCTTTGGCTGCTGCTTGGCCTGATTTAGAATAAAGCAGCATACTAGCATCTCTCAGGTTCCTGTTGTTTCAAACACTAAGCTCTCAAATGAATAAAATCTAGGTAATAAAGCCCCAAATGTTGCCCAAATGAAGGTCTGTATAAGTCATCAGTTGAGGATTAAAATCTAAATATACGTGCTATTTGAGAAAGAAAGAAGAAAATAAAACCAATAACCCGAAGGCCCAACAAGAGTAAATAAACAAAGCAATCAATAACTGGTGTAGATGTTAGATAGACAGTAAGCTGAACAGGATGAAAACTACACAGAAATTTAAAAATGTGTGCAAAATACGACATCTCTATTTATTGAAGCAATGTTTATAATGGTTAAAAAGAAAAGGAAGTGTATAGAAGGTCAAAGTCCATCAACAGAGAAATGACTGAACAATGTAGACAATGCCCTTGCTTCTAAGACTGAGTAGCTCTCTCCTCATTGGCATGAGGGGGTTTCACAGCATTTTGAAAAGTGAAAAAGCAAGATGCAAAGAAGTATTTGTATGTAGTGTCCCAGTTTTTAAAATGGGGACAAAAGGCCTATCTCTATATACTGGAGGTGAGGTATTATTTTAAATGATTATCAGAGGATGGAAGAAGGTACGAAGCCTACCCTCCAGTTGTTAAGATCACTCGGTTTTGGGGTGGAACGATCAACAAAAAGGAAGATCAAAGCAAGTCTCTTTCAAAGTTTCCATAGTTTTTAATACAAGATGCTATGCTGTTTATGTAAAATTATATATATGAGCGTAAGTATTCATACATATTTCTCTATCTATCAAGAGCTGTTAAATGATCATCCAAGTTAGGGTGGCTATCTAGGGCAGGAGGGAGATGGATTCTCAGTGATTTTTATTTTCTTTCTTGTATGTTTTTCTTTTGTTTGAATGTTTATATTAACCAGGTATTACTTATATAAACAGAAAAAAACCAGCAAAGCTACAACGTACACATATCTTAGATACCTTCCCCATTTCCCACCTCTAACCCATCTATTTCCCTCAAGTCAGGTCCCCTCCACACCAAGTTAGTTCAGGATCTCATTGTCCCTAACGACTCCTGTTGGGGCCCCTGCCTCGGTCTCTCCTCTCTATGGTCAGTCCTCCACATGGAAGCCAGAGTGACCTTTCAAGAACCCTGTCTGTCCATGATACTTCCCTGCCTGACCCTCTTGGAGGGCTGCTCAATGCCCCAGGCAATATTTCTCAAGCAGAGTTATGCACTGTCATCTTCAACACTGAATTTTCCAATCTTGTCCACCTTCCTCTGCTCTTCCACTGCAAGACTGCAGCTGCTGGCTCACCCCTGTCCTTCCACTCTGCCCTGCCTTCTCCTCCCACCTGCCCGCTAACATCCACCCATCAACGCATTCCACATTCAAACATCAGTCCCTCCTGCAGCCCTTCAGCGTCTCTCTTTCTGTCTTCTCAGACTACTCAGTGCTCTGTACATACTTTGTGATAGCCCTGAGATCATTTTTTTAAATTTTTTTTCAAATTAAAATTTTTATTGAAGTATAGTTGATTTACAATGTTGTGTTAGTTTCTGGTGTACAGAGATCATTCTCTTTAATGAATTTGTTTTCTCTCTCTCCCTCCCTAATAAGCTATTGGAGGGCAGGACTATATCCTCAACGTCTCTGGTGAATGAATGAATGAAAAGAATAAATGAATGAACCTGTAAAAACAGAACCCGAAACAGTTAATATAAATGTGTGTCAGCCATGCTAAAGGTCTGTATAAACACTGGCAAAGGGCTGAAGGTCCAGTTACAAAATACATGAGTCACGGGGATGTAGCGTACAGCATGGTGACTATAGTTAATAATACTGTATTGCATACTTGAAAGTTGCTAAGAGAGCAGATCTTAAAAGTTCTCATCACAAGAAAAAAAAATGTGTGACTATGCAGGGTGATAGATGTTAACTAGACTTCCTGTGGTGATCATTTCTCAATATTTACAAAATTTGAATCATGTTGTACACCTATAACTAATATATTACATGTTAGTTTCACACAATAAAATGTCAAAAAAAAAAGAAAAAAAGATGAAAGGTCAACATTTTAAAGTTCATTTTTTTCTTTTTCCAGCAGAGTGGTTTGAGTCACTTTTTACATTACTACCAGTAATTCACCCGATGAATAATTTATAGTCAAATTACCAAAAGTTAACTACAGTTTAAATTCCTATAAAATGAAACAGAGAAGTCAGAAAGAAAGCCATTTTCCCCTTTTGAAATAAACTAAAGAATTCAGTACTCTTCGACACCACGCCAGCTCTGGAAACAGCATTTCTCCCCCACAGAACATGGCCCAGCTGTGCGGTTACTTACTGGAGTTGAGGAGGACCATGGCCTTGACACAGAGATACTCTTTGTGCTGGAGTTTTAACTCACGAAACCTTGAAGTCGTTGCCAGGAGCATGTCAAAGATTTCCAGAATTCCTTCTACACATTTCCCCTCGTCCCTACAAAAGTCCATTTGGAAATTTAAGGAACATACAGCTTCAGATAACCACCAAAAGTAATAAGAAGTATTTTCTTTTTAATCTCAGATTTCATCTTGTACATCCTTTAACTATAATAGGGTGGCAATGAGACCACACCTGGAAATATGAAATTACTAGAATTACTTTTATATAAAGAAGAAAGGGCATTTCCTATAAGGCCCTAAAACAAAATTTGAGTGATACTATTTAAACAAAACTGTATGTTGAAACTACATTTTTTCTTCTACTTGTTGAGCAAATGTTTTCTTAAAGGGATTTCTGTTGATTATTTTCAATCCAAACCATTTCAGCCAACCAGCTCTTAATATGACATATGTTACTAAAATAAGGTATTCCAAGTTCTCATCAGAAAACCCTGAAGTGTTAATGAGGAAAGAATGAAAATTACAGAAGCAAATATCCCAAGAAGAAATAATTCTTTATAGCTAAGGCTTAATTCTTACTTCCTGGTGGTCAATTAGAAACTGGTGGGGCAACTAAGAGACATTTAAATGTAGTTTGGAAAAAAAAAAAGCGAATATGACATACAAGGAAATCACAATTACAGAAGATGGGTTAGAATCAGGAAAGGAATGAAGAAATGGAGACACAGTAATTTTTGACTTGCCAAAGATTATTTTTAAGCAAAAGTTTTAGACAAACTGAATCATCTCAAAATTCTTTTCAGCCCTCCTTACAGAAATGAATGTTTAACATACTTCTGAAGTAAATTACTTAAAATGTATCTAGAAAATACCAGCTTCAATTCACTCCAGCCAGACACACATTACTCTGCCTCATTTTTCCCAAAAAGCTTCCATTATCATCAGCCATAGAGCTATTGGAAGTCCTTGACAAGCAAGCAGTTAGATGATTTTGCCACAAAACTTTCATTTGCTTGTAAAAGCCCACAGTGCACAGCAAAGGGCAGCCATAGGGGCAATGGATTTCTGCAAGTTTCATTTTCAGCCTCCACAGCAGCCCCTGGAGGGGATCTGAGATCTTCAAAGAACAGGTTGCTCCCTCCTCCTTCCCCCAACTCCAAGCCAGCACATTTCCAGTGATGGAGTGGTTGGGGAAAGGGCCTCTGTTGAATTCAGTTCAGTGTAAACTGACATCGGTGGGTACTGCCAATCCTGGTAAATCCTTTCCCATTCGGTGCTATGATAGGACAGCAGCTCACCAGGATCCTGCAGTCCACAGCGCTCACACCCCTGCAAGCTCGCTACACAAAGCTACCCAGTGTGCATACTGCCCACTTTGGCAAACAAGCATGGAGACTTCGGCAACCAGTTGAGACCTTCCAAAAGTGTGCTGGTTAAGTGAGAAAACATTAGTGCTCCCTAGAAGTCACTCATAGGGTAAGGCCACCCTGGAGAATCAGAGCCCCGGGCAAAGGATGCCAAAATCTATCGGAAGCCCTCAGCCCTCCCCATACGCTATCCTCCCTCCTCCCCTGCTCTGGGCTTTCCCAGGCACCTGCTGAGAGTGTCCAGTAAGGATAAGCATGCCCTGCACAAAGCAGAGGCCCAAGAAATACTTATTCACTGAATGTCCCTCAAGCCAATCATCAAACCACTCCGCCTGGGACAATTTGTATTTGGAAATTATGATTGTTGGCCTTGAGGACATCTGATACTGAGAAAAGCTGGTTTACAAATACCTCTGGAGGCAAAAAAGAATCCACCAAGTGCTGCACTGATAGTTTAATAGTTTGGCTCTTTGTTCTTTTGTGAGACTAGGAGGTGGGGTCATGGGCTCACACACACACACACACACACCCCTCCCCATGTAGTATGATAAGGGGACTCATGTGAAATCAATCCTATTTTGCAGAAATTGCCACCTGTACCTAAGAAGACATTCCTAAATACTGAAAGTAGTGTTGTTTCCTCTTTATAATACATACCATTTTTAATGTAAATTCATATTTCAAAAATGGAGGAAGTGTTTACATTCTAAGGTATTTTAAGCCCTGATAAATGCTGCAACTCCAGTAATGAGAACATGTGTACCTTACGGAGAAGTGAATTTCTTAAGCAGCCCTAAAAAACTAGGTCTGATTGCTTTCTCCAGCAGGTGTGGTAGCCAACCATTCCATTCAAGGGGCAACAGGATCAGAATATTTTTATTCACTTCACAAGCTGTAGAAACCAAATACATTTCTAGAAGTCGAATGAGAAATACAGGGGCAATAAATGACACCCTAATAAATTTCTACTTTAAAATGAGTTATACAGAACAGAGTGAGGAAGGACTCTGAAATAACAAGTCAATGAGACATATTTCATTTATTCTGTAAGTAACAACGGATTGACACTGAATTATGAGTAAGCAATTAGGACAAGTTTAAAAGATTTGAATTCAAGATAGTGGGTATATGAGTTGGATGTTAAAATACTGAAACAATATATCAATCAAAGCAACCTGCTCATGGAAATTTAATTTTATACCCCATCTGCCTATAAACCTGTGCTAAATAAAAACAAAAGTAGCAGTTCCATGTGGGCTATCTTATTATTTGATAACCACCCCTGTATAAAAGAAAAATATTCTGTTTGATACCAGGGACAAAACGTTGAACAAGTGGGCCTGCCTTTGGGGTTCACTGTTTTTTTGCTGACATACGTACCTGCCGGCAGCACACGTGTGGCTAACAGATCAGTCTGTCTACCTGTGTGTGGGCAGTAACAGGATTAGGACAGCTAAACACATGGAAAGGGCTTAACTATTGAACTGGAGTGAAATGATCTGTGTACTAAAGGGAAATAGAATTTTAGAAGTGAAGATTCTGTGGGTCTCTTGAAGAGAATTCAATATGCAATACCTAACATGAATGCAAATTCGGGACATTTACACTTATGAGTCCACAGAATTCCATTAACATCCACTTCCTCCGACTTCTTAATAACATTTAAATTTAGACAGCCTCCTGTTGACGCTAAGGATACACAATGCCTTAGCATGTCTGATTTTGTGAGCAAGTAGAAGGTCAGATCCTGTGGTAGATCTTCCCATGAACTTGGGATGCTAGTGATTACTAACAGAACCGCCTTGTTAGACATAAGCTAAGATTCCCCTCCCATCCTCAGTAGGCTCTAGTTTTCGTGCTGCAGAAGCCTCAACGACAATAAAGGGAAGTAAATTACCGTCTCGGTCTACACAAATAAATAAATAGGCTGAGTTAGTTGTATTCACTGCTCACGTGGTCATACCAAGGCACTTGAAAGAACTCTGACAGGACAATTCACCAAAAGACAGTTATTCTCAAGTAGTGTGAAAATTATTTATTCATGCTGCAAAAAAGATTCATAATAGAACTCCTTTATGGTGCATGACCTTTGACTTTTTGAATAAGTAACATTTTGAACATTTTTGAATAAGCAAGTCCTCCAGAAACATACTCATTACATTAGGGTATTATCTATATAACAGATGCACTAAAAATCCCAGACCCGAAATTCTAGACTTCAGAGTTAATGTTCTAAAAGCAAGTAGGGATTTCAACAGAAAATAACCACTAGTAGGCACTCCAAAAAAAAAAAAATCTCTGTTCAATGGGAATGTATTTACAATTCCCATGAACTCCTCTTCAGTACTCAATCCAATATATTCAATGTCTATGTTATTAACAATAATAATAATGCTTTCAGATATTCATAAAGTACTAAGAGCCTATTAAAATAGTATGTAAGAAAAATTACTCCTTTTTTTCTTCTATTCCTTAACCAAGGGGTAGGCCTAAAATTTATCTGGAATTTGTTTCAACTTACAGTAACTTATACACACATAGGAGTTAAAGATCCCATACAAAGAGGAGAGTTAGTTGTACCAAAAACCAGGAATGAAACAGTCACTGGCATCAATTTAGAAATGAAGACAGAAAGTAAAATAACCCAGTCCCAATGTCTGCAAATTTATTGGTTCACCGAAAGATAGAACTTCTTCCTAGCACTAACTCCTAGGGAAGTAACTGTGTGTGTGTGTGTGTGTGTGTGTGTCTTTACTTAAATTCTAAGTGGAACATATGGAGTGAACGAATGACTGAGAGAGATGGCCTGGCCGGGTGCGTGGCCTTTCAGCCTGCCTTATAACAGGTATGTCCAAGATGACAGCAGGGGGAGTAGGTTTCTGAGTGGGCAGAGAGTGAAAGAGAATTGTTCTATGATAAAAGAATAAAGTAGAAAGTTACTTTGCCTTTTGGCCTCGTCCTCTTCCCCCCATCCAGTCTTCTACCCCACTGAGTGGCAGGTACCATTGTAGGTAAGGGTGTGAACTTCACAGCCAGCCCCTGGGTCCAGCTGCATCACTTACTGAAGCTGCAGACAAGTTACCTCACCTCCGTTTCCCACATCTGAAGGATGAGGATATGGGGCTTACCCTTAAAGGGCTGTTGTAAAGATGGAATGACGAAACACACATCAGTGCTTAAGATGGCGCCAGGCCGTACAAGCCAGTAAGTTAGCTAATTTTATTGTTACTGAAGAGTCTGAGCTTCCAGAACCGCCCTCTGTGGTTCACCACCTGGGCTTGCTTCTGCTGGAGTCCATGCTCCAGCTCTTCCCAAAGGCCCTGTTCTCCAGCAAAACACCTCAGTTACTTAGTGCTCTTCGCCAACGCTGTCACCCATGACAACAGGCAGAATGGCAGTTAATACCCTGGGCTGTCACTTTTCACCTGCATGAGGTGTGCAGGGGGGTCTTCTGATGCTCTCAAAGGTACTGCCAGGAGCTGGGGGCAGACACTTTCTAGTCACAGCACTGGGCATCCTTCTAATCTGTGCACAGAGTCAAATGTGACCAAACTTTCAACACTAGCACTTTTTCAACACAAGGAATATGGAAATCAGTTTCCACGGAGATTTTCAAACTGTTCAAATTTACACCAAGAAAGCATTCTACTTTTCCTGCTAAAAGGCTCGAGTGTCATGGTACATCCCAGCTTTCCCTCCGTGAATAGCTCACCTAGGCTAATTAAAAACTGGTTCCTTTTCTGTGCCATCTTTAAAAGAAAAATAAATACAACCAAGTTACAGCATTGACACTATCATTCCCCAATTTCCGTTAACTTTCATCTGATTTTAATAACCATTCCTTTTGTCACTGTTGCCAAAAATGCTCTACAGTACAAGCAGTTAGAGTGAGTTAAAGCATGTTAAAGTAAACTTGGTAGATTTGTAAGACTTTTATCACCTGTCTAGATAGATGTAAATGGTCCATCCCTACTGATGGAAAGAACGGCAGGACAGCTTAAAATGATAACCCAAAAATTGAATTTTTTTAATGCAGAAAAATTTAAGTTGACCTGTACACTTTGCAGCCACATACCCTGCAGGACACAGGCCCCGCTGTGGTCTGGCCCACGAGTGCTGCCTCACCACAGGCAAGAATGAGTCACAGGAGGCTGAATCGTTGCGCCCCTGCTACCCTTCTTGGATTCTTGACCCTGTGAAGGAGCTCATGACATTATCCTCCTCTTACCTGCCCTTTCAGGAGTGAGGTTTTAATTGCAGAACCCAGGACTTTGTTCCCGCTTCACTCAGCACCTCACTCAAACCAGTTGGAGAAGAAACACAAAGTATTTTTTTTTCTCACCTGTCCAGAACGAGGTCTGGAGCAAAGATGAGCTTGCCAGGGTGGTCGATGGAGCGCCACATCAGCCCCACCATTAGCACCTCCAACCAGCAGCTCTCCAAGAGCCGCACTTGGTCATGCAGACTGAGCTCCATGAAGCCTGGGGAAAGCAAGAGGCTGTGAGCACACCCGCCCTCCTCCTCAGCTCCCTGTTTCCATAAAAACAGAAGAGCAAGTTTTTAAAAGCTAAGAGAACACACGTAATGCAGGAGGGGAAATCAATATTTTAAAGATGCAGTTACATGCTGACCTGAGGAAGAAAATCTTGAACTCAAAGTAAGTCACAGTCCCCAGTCTCAAACCCCTTCTAGGGAGAAACGAACTTCATTTAGAATTTCTAAAGGACTGTTACCTGGGCTTACGCAGCTCCCCAGACAGATGCTAGCGAAGAACAGAAAGCTGGCACTGATCTTGGTGAGTTAAATCCTAATGACTGTCTGCACTGCTGGGAAAGACGGGGCTTGGCTGCCAGCCAGAGGGGCTACCTGTCTGGCCCAGTCCATGACTGGGGCCGGGACGAGTGGGGCAAACGGGGGTGGTGGTGAGTGGGGGGCCTGCAGAGAAAGCAGAGCTGGCCTCTGCAGAAAGTCAAAGCTCTAGCTGAAAGAATTTCTCCAATTGCTTAAGATTTCCCATCTAGTGTTAGAATTGTTCTTCAGAGTAGGCCTGCTGTCTCTAGGCTACTCTGTGCTGAAGAGCTCATGGGACAACTGCAGCAGGTCCCTAAGGGAGGCGAGCGCTTCGGAGGCAAAGTGGACATCACTGGTGCTTCCTCCATGAGCCACGATAGGACGAGGAGGCAGTGTCCCCTAAATACAGTCACCAACCAAATGGCCTCAGAGTACAGTGGACTCTGGTCAGAACACCCGCTCCGCCTCATCCCACCTAGTCACCTAACCTCCTTTCACGTCTTCCTTTTCCTCCAGGAAAAATGGGGCAACCATACTGACATCTGCCAATTTCCTACAGATAGGATCTCTCATCACCCTCATTTTACAGGTGAGGAAACTATGGCACAGAGAACATACGTGGTTCAAATCTTTGAACAGTTATAACACATCTGCACAAAGGAGCACTTAATAGAGTAATGAGTGAAAAGATGGATAAATCCTTCCCAAAGCCACATCCTGTACTCAGTGCAGGTCCCTAATACGTGTCAGTGTTCCAGTCTCACCCACAGTTATAGACAATAAGCCTATCCAGGGGAGAGTAAGCTTTTCACACTTGTAGCTATTCAACAAAATCAAGGCTAGGTGATTTTTTTTTTAATTTGTTGGTTTGGACAAAGACATATGAATGAAGAAAGTGGAAAAACCCACAACTTCAGACTATACCTAAGTTTTCTGAAAATTTTCCAAAATACCAGGCTTGAAGAAGGACTAAAGCAGCTTAGGAGTCTGGTTTTGTTATAACACAAGATGCTGCCCAGCTCTCAGGAGCAACTAGTTTCACCACCACTCTCCACGTGGGCTCCGGAAAACCAGTGTTTGGAGCACACGGAGAATAAAAGCTAGAGGAAATTGTGTCAGTGTTGTCTCCTGTGGGAAAGAGTTGAGGAAAAAAAAATTCATTCTGGCAAAAGTAAAGATGCTACACTGTCAAAACCAGAACTGGAAACGAGAAGACTCTTAGATAGCTTAGAAGCCAACAAATGACCCTGTAGAAGCTGAGGCATTTACACCCAGCTGCACACCCTGCTCAATCTTTAAAATTTGCCTAGTTCAGTTGCTGCCCTCCAGGCCATGGGAATTGTCCCTCGTGGGTTAGAACTTGGAGAGAGCCCTCATTTCTTAGACAAATGTAATGATATAGAAGTACCCCTTCCAGGGAGATGATGGGTTGCTGTCATTCTATGTTAGAATCCTTGCTTCATTCTTTCACAGAAACACTAACTCAAATAGTAATTAGAGGGTAATTTTGTCCTGATGCAGTACTTTAGGTATATATTACAAACTGGCCTGTGAAAGTGAGTACATTATAGGATAGGAAATGCACGTCCTAAATGACAATTCATGAATAACCAAATCCATTTTTAGTTTTATCAAGTTAAAAAAAATTTCAGGTTTTGATGATGCATGTTACCTCAGCAGCTGACTTTCTATTTGTCCATATATATTTGTTTGTATACATACAAAATAACAATAATTTACCATTCAAATTTAGCATCTGAGAAACATACCATTTTCAAACTGGTCATATTGTGCCCCACCCCACCCTCTCCTGATCACATCCCTCCTCCCACAGTGAGGAGTCCACACCCAAGAGATGGGTTAATGGGGGACCAGGACCTCTTCCTTTTAGATCATGTTCCAGGTCCCAGGACACTAGAATTTCCTGCCCAAATGGCTCCACGTCCACTTCCAGAGCCTGGGTGGGTCTCTTCCCTGGGTCCATCTTCCCAGACCACATCTAGGCATGAGATGTGGCCCGTAGGCTAGTGCCTGTTAGAGACGTGATGCATAGGATGGGGTATGTACAAGGTGGTATAGGATGGATCCAGGGTTAGGAGAGGAGGAGAGTCTGGAAGGGAAGGGGTCCATGGTATACCACACTTTCTGCACTGCTGTTTCTGGTACAGAACTCAGAGTAGGCCAAGAATTCTAAATTGGAACTTGGCCTTCCAAGACATGTTGAATATATATCAAGAAAGGACGAAAGAACACATTTCATGTGAAACATAGCTTGTGGATCTCCATTTTGTATTCCTGCCCAATAAATGTTAGGAGCAGGCCTTTCTACAAATAAATTTAAAGCTAAGACCCAGAGAGCCCTACCTGGAATTTTCTTGGCCCAGCTGATCATGTGCACCAGTTCCTTGTCGGCCAGCTTGGTCAGGGACATCATCATGGAGGCCTCAGTGAAGGGCGCGCTGGGGCGGCTCACCAGCACGTGGGGCGGCTCGGCCTCGAGGAGCGAGAGCACCAGCTGCTCGGGGCTCAGGGTGCTCAGCAGTAGCTCCTTCACTCGTGTCACATGTCCACCATTTTTCTTGGCTTTGCTCAGGCAATGCAGCTGCTCTTCAGAATTTCTCTGCCTTCGCACTAGGCGGTACCCACACCTTTCTCTCCGGGAGCCTAAAGCAGAGAGCAGATGGTAACACAGTACTTTCCCATCTCTTCCCCAACCCAGCATTCAAATTCCCCCAATCACCAGGGTGAAAATGAAGCAATGATATCATTGTAAGACCTGAGTCTATTCACAGAATGTGTCTTAGAACAGGAGCCTGACTTTTATTTCTGGAGTCTGTGGGGCATGTACTAAAGATTATTACATTTGCAACTGTATTGGCAAAATCAGTCATGACTTTTTAGGGACAATAGTCCAAATGATCTTTAGGTCTCCATTTCAAGGTCATCTATTCCATTTCTAAATCTAAATCCATTTCTCTTCTAAAGAGTGCTGATATACCTCAGTTTCCAAACCATGAAATTAGGAATTTTCTTCAGGCAGAAAATGGAGAAAAGTTAGGAAGTGAGTACTGATTATTTCCAAACAGTTATCAAATAATGCACTTTTATAATACACTCAAATGTTTTACATGCATGTGCATGTATATATTCTTTTTACATTACTTACACAAATAAGCTTATTTCAAATAATAAACTAATTGAAAAAGTTTGGAAAATATAGAAAAGCACAAATTTTGACTTAAAGCCAGTTTTCTTTTAATGCTTTCATACTTTTCCATATTTTATACTCAAAATTAGGATCATAGCATATATGCTATTTTATAACTTGCTTTTTCTCTTTTATTAAAACTGTCATCTTATGATTTAAAAATCTGTATAGCATTCTGTTCTATGAGTATCGCATCACTCATTTAAAGTGTCCCCTATTAAAAAAAATAAAGTGTCCCCTATTGATGGAAATCTAGGTTGGTTCTAATTTCTTTGCTACTATACATATTACAATGAAAATGCATCTTTGTACCTGTATCTAATTACTCTCTTATGATAAATTCAAAGAAGTCAAGTTGCTGAAGGCATATACACATTTAAATTTTTGATATGTATTGAAAGAATGCCCTCCAAAAGTATTTTAAAATTTATAGTCTAAGCAACACTTTAAGGGCTACCTATTTTCTCATAACACCATTGGGCATTAAAAATCATTTTTAATCTTCACCAACCTGACCGGTGACTAAGTAATTTCATTTTACTTTGTATTTTGTTAATTACTAGTAAGGTTAACTAATACGTTTGCCCTTCATATTTTTTTACTTGTATATTGCGTATTTGCTTCTTTTGTCCTTTATCTCCCTAATTACCTACAAAGGCTCTTTATATAGCAATAACAGATAACTTTTATTATATGCAATATTTACCTTATTTGTTAATATATCCTTTAACTCTGCTCATGGTGTCGTTTGTCATAAAATTTAGTACATAGTCGATCTGTCTTTCTGTTTCACACCAAGATTATACAAATATTTCTTCCATATCTTCTTTAAGCACTTTTGTGCTTCAAACCTTTTGGAATTTTATGTATGTTTGTATTATGTCATGTTGATCTTTCATGTTATGTCTTTCCAAATGGATGAACAACTTTCCAAATACCATTTATTGAATAAGATTTTCCCATTGATTTTTAGAAAATGCCTTGTCATTTAGTAAATAATTATGTTTTAAAGTATCTTCTTCCAGATTTTCTACTCTTTTCATAGACCTATTTTTCTATTCCTGTGCTGGTACCAAAATGTTTCAGTTACTATGAGTTTATATAGCCAAACACAATGAGGCAATGTCTTTAAGAAAGAAACTTTCACTCTATGTCTTTTGATTGGACATGGAACCAACCTAAATGTCCGTCAACAGATGACTAGATAAAGAAGTTGTGATATATTTCTACAATGGAATACTACTCTACCATAAAAAAGAATAAAATAATGCCATTTGCAGCAACATGGATGGAACTGGAGATCGCCATTCTAAGCGAAGTAAGCCAGAAAGAGAAAGAAAAATACCATATGATATCACTCATATGCGGAATCAAAAAAAAAGAAAGGCCACTATGAACTCATCTAAAAAACAGAAACAGACTCACAGACTTAGTAAACAATCTTATGGTTATCAGGAAAAGGAGGGGATAAATTTGGGAGTTTGAGATTTACAAATGTTAACCACTATATATAAAAACAGATTTTTTTAAAAGTTTATTTTGTATAGCACAGGGAACTATGTTCAATATCTTGCAATAACCTTTACTGGAAAAAATATGAAAATAAATATATGTATGTATATGCATGCCTGGGACATTGTGCTGTACACCAGAGACAGTACATTGTAATTGACTGAACTTCAACTGAAAAAAAAAAGGAACTTTCAATTTAGAATTATATTCCTAGCAAACCTACCATTCAAGAGTGAGGATAAATTAGATATTTTCAATTTAAAAAATCTGCCTCCTGTAACTGGTCCCTGTTCACCCCAGCTCTGTCCTCGGCAGCTACAGAGACTAAGTCAATGTTGCTCCAATAAGACAGCAAACAAACACTTGAAGATAGTTACCAAGTCCTAAATCTCCTCTCACCCAGGCTACATGTCCCCAGGTCCTCAAACTGTCCTGTTTGACACGGCTCTCAGCATGTCCCACACACAACGAGAGGGGAAGGGAACGCTCACCACACTTCACCATTCCGACTTCATAGCACTTCCGAAGTCGGCAGGCCTGGCAGCTTTTACGCCGGTTCTTATCTATTGTACACTGGTTTGTAGCTGGACAAATATAATCATTATGTCCTACAGCAGAGCAAAAAGAAAAGGAAGTTTATTGTTACAATATCTTAGTTACTTCTCTTCCTGGCCAATAATACAGCTACCACTACCCAGCTGAGAGATAGGAGACATCTTCTCAACCACAGTACAGGTACCAAGGCCATGTTCAGCCCCATCAGTGCCTTCTTCGTGAGGAAAGGAAAGATGGGAATACTTTAGTAGCCTTCTTTTTGACTAATAAGGTTATTCTGTGCGCGTTCTTAGAATTCTCAAGAGATACGTTTAGACATATTTGCCTTTACACGTGGAAAGTGAGACGGTCACCTGAAATTGATTTGCTCCACGTCACAGGACTCCTCAAGAGGAGCACTTGTGTCAAGTCACCAAATTCACCTGCTTGTGTTCTTTTACATATATCCCTCTTTGGGATTTAACGTGACACTTCAATAGCTAAATAAGAGACCTAAACTGGTCAATAAGAGAAAATAGAAGTTAGCAAACTAAACAGGGACAGAAAGAACTGCCACTTGACAATGGTTGTGGTGGATTCAATTATTGTTCTCAATTCTTCACTCCCTCCCTCAGCCAGTGGCCTTGCCGTGTACTAGAGCATGCAGAGTATACTTCCCCACCAATTCATGTCGGGCTTGGCCATGGGACTTGCAGTAGGCACTGGTATGTTAGTAGATGTGATACTCCCAAAAGCTTGGCTTGGCCTCTTAAACATCCTTGAGGAGAAAATGCCTAGGGCAGCCCCTGGTCCAAGGAGAATGTGGAGATGTGTGGTGCAGACAAGAGCTCAACCCAAAGCCCAGAGCCAAGCCTTATGAAGTAGAGCCACCATAAACAACTCAAGACCCACAGTTTTAAAAGTAATGTTCACTGCAGTAATCTACAATCTAAACAGAGTTGTACAGTAATCTCTAAGACAATGGTACTTTTTAATTTTTTAAGTAAAGAAGAGATAAAATTTCCATTTCAAAAAACATTCTTTCAGATACCGTATGGAAAATAGATTCGAGGCAGCAAAACTGATGGAGGCCAGGAGATCAAGCAAGAACCCACTGTAGTCATGCAAACCGGAGAGGGGGCTGCCTGGACTGGGTATTGGCAGGGAGGATGAAGAGAGCTACAGAGATCTGGGAGATTTAGGGAACAGAAATGATAAGAAAACTGATGAAGAGCCAAAGTCAATAGGGTGCTTAGCTGCCTTTATTTCTTAATTGAGTCTTTCTAGTAAACAACAGGGCCTGAACTTCTTATGATAAAATATATCATGACCCAGAACTTCATTGTGGAAAAATGGATGAATCTCAGTGACAAATTAAATGAGCAAGTCACAAAAGAAGTCACAAAAGAACATAAAGGAGAGGATTCTGTTGGTATAAAGTTCAAAAATAGAAAAAAACCCCTAAACTCTATTGTTTAGGGATACATGCTTAGGTGGTTTAAAAAAAAAAAACCCATGACAAAGGCGGCAGAAACAAGAACAGTCTTACCTCTGCAGGGAGAGAATGTGCCGTAATTGAAAGGACCACCAAGAGGGATTCTGGGGCACTGGAGATATCCTGTTTCATGGCCTGAGCACTAGTCACACAAGGGATTGCTTTATAATTATTCTTTAAACTGAATATAAATATCAAACTGTATATATTTTATATATTAATATACATATATATATATATATATATATATATATATATACACACACACACACACTAGAATAAATACATTCCTTAACTCTATCCTCTGAGAGAGGCTAGAAGCAGAGCTATCCAGAGAGCAACGAGCGAACTAGCACCAGATCTTGATTTATAAATATCATTCTCCACCAACAGGAAACAGGGAATCTTGGAGAAAAAGCCTATTCCAGCTTATCCCACTGGGACAGAGAAAGCACAAGATAAGTCTGAAACATCCTGTTGTGCCAGGAAGTAAAGGAATGTCCAAAGAGTTACGGGCACATGTCAGAAGAGACACAGAAGCTAGTTTAAGGGAATCCTACTGGCCAAATCTGGGAAAATTTGGACATCCAAATAAATAATTATATATATACACTGGAATAAATATATTCCCTAACTCTACCCCCTGAGAGAGTCTGGGAGCAGGGATAGCACCAGCCTGGCAGACATCACCTTAACCAAATAATCAAAGTGTACAAACTGAAATCAGGCACCACAAGAAAGAAGCCAGTGAGAAGAATATAGCATCGTTTCTGTGATATTCCTGCCAATAATGTGTGAGCTGAGTCTAATGATGAGGAACCATCACACACACCCAAAGTGAGGATCATTCTGCAGAATAACTGGCCTATAAGATTCTAAAGTGTCAAGATTATGAAAACCAAGGAAAAACTGAGGAACTCTTCTGGACACATAGAGGGAGGCTGACGACCTAACAACTAAACGCAAAGTGTGATGCTAAACTGTAGAGAGCACTGTTGGGACAACTGGCAAAATCTGAACAAGTCTAATAAGGGTTAGATGGTGGTAATGTATCAATGCTGATTTCCCAATTTGATTCTTGTGTGGTGGCTATACCAGAAATACATGTTAAAGTATTTCAGGGTGATGGGGTATAATGTTGGCAACTCATGATTTCAGGAAAAAAGTTTCTTTATATTATATATGCACATTTTTTGTAAGTTGGAGGCTTATTTTTTTAAATGCTCTTTTAGCTTCTCAAACAATAAAACAATAAACTAATTCAATACAAACACATACAAATTAATACACAAATACAGATAAGTTGAAATTTACCTATATTTCAAATGTTATTGCTTTAAGTCCTGAAATTAACTTTCCTTCTTCCAACTTAGCAGATTTTAAAGAGCATTCCCCAAAAGACATGGTTCTATGATCAGATTAAATTTCATAATTCTCTCCCCCTTTGTGTAGATTCCCATAACATTTGTTCAACAAAACACCAATTGAAATTTAGTTGTTTGTAGCTTTATCACCATGTCCTGAGTCAGCCTGGGTACCAGCAAAGGTGCCCTAGAGATCCGAGTGACCCCCCACCCTGGCCACGTACAGGAAGCAATGTCTTCCCAGTCTGACACACCAACATATCTGACCTCCTACTGATTTCCAGGTACTTTCCATCGGCACCTCGTTTAGTCCTACAACTTCCCTATATCCCCATTTTACAAGTGAAAATGCTTAAGCTCATTAATAATCTCCTTAAAGTTATTGTTTCAGTTTTCCATGCCACATAATAAATTTCTACAAACTTAAAAGCTTAAAACCAAACAAATTTATTAGCTTATAGTTCCTATGAATAAAGAGTCCAGGCACAGCTTACTCTTCTCAGGGTCCCAACAAGGCTGCAGCCAAGGTATTGACTGGGCTGTGGCCTCATCTGAAGGTCAGGATCCTCTTCCAAGCTCATTCAAGTTCCTGCAGCTGTAGTTCCGAGGTTTTCTTGCTAGTTATAGGCTGGACACTGCTGTCACCTCCTAGAGGCACCTGCAGTTCCTTGCCCAGAAGTAGTTCACAGTGTGATGGCTGCTTTCTCCCAGGCCAGGAGGAGTGCATCTCTCTGACTTCCAGTGTCTCTCCAGTCTGCTATGATGGAGTCTCATATAATCATAGCATAATCACAAGAGACTATCCCATCACTATTTGCCGTATAATGTAACCTAACCAAGGGAGCGACTCCTTTCATCGTATTTACAGTTTCTACACACACCCAAGAGTAGGGGGTAATATAAGGTGTGTTAAAAATTTTTTTTAAGGAACAGCTAATTATCCTGTTACTGCTTTTACCCTCACAATATTTGAAAATAAAATTTAAAAGCCAAAATACATTTCTAATCAGTAACTTTCTATTATACTTTAGAACATAATGCTTTATAGTTAGAAGATACATGTAATCCCACAGTATTTCCATAGCAGGAGCAATCTTCTAAGTACCTTCTAAAAACTCCAAGAACTATACATGATGTCATCCTTATTGGTTTTGTAAAGCGGTTTATAACATTAAGCATTTAAAGGACAACTAGAGGTTGACTTTTATTTTTCTCGCAGAGTTTACTGTAAAAGATCATTTTACTTAAAAAAAAAAAAGATCAGAAAGCACAATTATATGAACACACTCAATAAAATAGCCTAGAAAATGTGTTATGCAAAAGGTCATGGTAATTCACTTCACTTCTGGCAAAAAGAAAAAAGTCTTCCTTGAACTGCACCAGCCACCTAATATATGAACATGGTCTCCTTGTTCCATGCAACAGTCTGAGAAGCATGCTACTCCCTACCGACAGAGCTGAGAGAAAAGCTCAAAGCAAAATTAAAAGCAAAATATAAAGCTAATTCTTTTAATTAAGATATAGAGCTTTATAGGAAAATGCACATTTTATAATATAAAAGATTATCTTTCTTCCCTCTGCAAAATTACTGAGTCTGTCTGAATACTAATTATCATTCATATCCCACTGCATGGAGGGAACAGACAGCACTGAACTTGAAATCAAAAGATCTGAGTTCAGTATCAGCTCAGCTTCTCAGTTCTTATTTTTAAAATAGAGCAATATGTTTATCACCCATCCCCTCACCAATACTCTTAAAGCAGCAGGCATCTACCTTGTGTTTTGCTCCCTCAGGACATTCTTCTTGAGTTCAAGACTAAATAAATCCCAAGTAATGAAATATATGCCTCCAAGGTAAGAATCCTTTACACAAACTATGGGCTGCTGGAGCTTCCCATTTAAAGCTTAGCCCATAATGTCTTAAGAGACAAAGAGTTGAAGATTCATGAGCGGCAGGCAGATAGATTTTAACTGTCAAAGGACAATGATAAAAGGTTATTATGAACACCAAAGTGAAAGCATAGTAATACTATTATTATGTATAGATAGAAAATAGCCAAAAGGATGAAATTTATGGAAACATCATAGGGAAATGGGCCAAATACATATCAAAAACCAACAAAACTTTGTAAGAGATATAAAAGACCTAAATAAATGGAGACATGCTTCTTGATGTGAAGACTATAACAAAGATTCCTCATAAAATAATTCTTAGGTTTAATAAAAGATCCACTGTTCTTAAAATTAAGGATGGGAGGCCACTTAATAAAGTTATTTTAATGTTCTTGTAGACAAATAAACATGAGAAAATAGCCAGGATATTTTAAAAATAGGAGGTATTTATACTGGTATGTATTAAAATTTATAATAAAATTATAATAGTTAAAATAATGTGGTGCTTAAACAAGAAGGAAGAGACAGATCAACAGAACAGTCAGACTAAACACTAGTATATGTAAAGAACTTAATGTACATCATATATATAGAAAAATCAATGAACACATGAAAAGATGTTCAAAATCATCAGTAATCAAGAAAATGAAAATTATATCCACAGGGAGATATAACTACATACCCAACAGAATGGCTAAAATTTAAAAGACTGACAGTATCAAGTTTTGATAAGAATGTGGAGCAACTAGAACTCTCATACATTGCTACTGAGAATACAAAATGTTTCAACCACTTTGGAAAATAGTAAGTTTACTCCTAGACACAACTCAAATGGACAAATAAAGAAACTGGCATACATCTACTGGAATATTAGTAACAGAAAGGAATGAACTACTAATACATACAGCAACAGATAAATCTTAAAGGCAACATGATAAGTGAAAGAAACCACACACAAATGGTTACATACTTTATGACTCAAGTATATGACATTCTAGAAGAGGCAAAACTAGAGGGACAGAAAACAGATCAAGTTTTCTACAGCCTGGGAGGTTGGGGTGAAATTGGCATGAGGAAACTTTCTGGGATGAATGTAACATTCCATGTTTTAATTATGGTTGTGGTTACAGGACTACATGTATTTTCAAAATTCATAAAACTATACAGTTAAAATAGGGAAATTTCATTGTATGTAAATTAAATCTCAAACAAAAAATAAGTTCCCATTTTTTAAAAAAATCAATGAAAATAGATTTATTTAATATAACAATGTGGAGAAAGTTAACAATTTATGAAAACACATTTGATTCTTATTTCATTCAATATACCAGAAGACCTGAGTGGCCATTTTCAGCTACTGCAATGCCTTTATACAAGAGGATGCCAAAAATATGAAGAGACCAAAGAAACAATCATTTAGGCATTAAGCAACTGTAAGAGCACTAACTCCCATTTGTACTTTTAGGATGTGACTTTCCTAACAGATCCTCTGCTGATGCAGCAGGAAGGAATGACACAGGGAAAGCAGAAGAAACTTACTTTTCATTGTTATCAGCTATGGTCTCAGGGTTCACGAAATATCATGGAAAATATTTCATGCAGAGGCACTTTTCCCTAACAGCAAATAAGAAGAATCTCTTCTTAAAGGATGTAGTTAGTTGTCTGGGTAAAATTTCCTTAGGAGATAAAATTCTAGAACCTCAACAAGACAGAGAATTGTCATCCTATCAAGAGCTCTGTTCTGAATTTCAGAAAATCTGAGTTGTTTTTATCATATACAGCTGGAAACTGGACCTGGCCTTATAATCTACTAGTACAATCATCATAAACAAAAAATTTCAAGCACTGAGTATGTTAAATATAGAATGAAAAGCTCTGTGTGTGTAAAATCAAAAATAAGCAGACAACACAGTTTATGTTCTGACAGCATTTGATGACATCATCTTTCTTTATCTGTGCTGTTTTTCCTTTGATAAGAAAATTAAGTTTGGAAATGGCAGAGGGCCCTCATCCACCTAACTATGAAGATTTTAGAGGAGGTAGGTTTAAATGAGATTAGGATTAGGAGAGAAATACAAGGAAGAAAGAAAAGATCTTGATGTCTAAATACAGAAGAGTTAGAAGAAAAACTAGATTATCCTGAATTTGTAGGATGTTTACAATTGACCAAATATTTTCACATAACCAACTTCACTTCATTTTGGATCATCCCTGTGAGCATCTCCATTTCACAGGTAAGGAAACAGGCTGGAAAGCCAAGCCACAGAGCTGCTAAGTGGAGGACCTAGGACCTCTGCAGGATGAACTTCAGAGGATTCACAGGAAAGGGACTCTTCATTTACTAACATTCTACCCTCACCACCCTCTGCATTCCATCAGTTTCTCTGCTTGAAGTAAAATGTTCTCTTAATCTAGAGTTATCATTGGGTGAATTAACTCAGTAAATTGCTGTTTGCCTTTGGCACACTATGAATTGCTTTAAGGTTGCTTTCCTTCACCAGATAAGAATAAGGCACTGAGGCTCTGGCAGAAAAGGGAAGGGAGTTCTGAGATGAGAACACTAGACACTGCCTGGGAGGGGGGCTGTTAGGGGAGGGGTTAAGGGGTAGAGACAGATGAGAACACAAAAGAAGGTGACTTCAGCAAATTAGAGTTGGCAAGGAAAGGAGAGCGGCAAGGACCTCCCTCCATGTGGTGCGGCAAGGGGCCGACTGGCCTTGAAACTAGGAGTGCACAATTTCAAATTGATAAAAACGTGATTTAAAACAAACAAACAAAACCCAGCCCAGCAGAAATCTGGAGAAGGGTAGGGAAACGTCTAAACCCAGACCAGAAAATAAGGGGATTGTGAAGGGAGGCACCACTAGTTAAGGGCAAGATACGCCTCTAGGTCAATTCTCAAAGTCCACTGGAGCTGAACTACTGATTTCTGACCTTTTCCATAAAATGTATTTATTCTCTCTTCCTCAGGAGCCAGCCCACCATGACTGTTACATATGCTAGATATTAAACATAAGTCTAAGGAAGAAACAATCTTTGCAGTTTCTAGCGAGCACACTTTTTTCCCCCAAGCTTTATCTTCACAAGGGTTGTAAGTAGGCGTCTTCTCCCAAGAAGACAGCAATGGGTGATGGGTAGGGTGAGACCCATTTGGGTTCTGGGGTAGAGATCCGCAGTTAAAGACAAAGTGCTCTACACTAAACAATCCACCCTGCCCCCAAACACACGTGATCCTCTGAACTGCACATCAAGTACTTTGAGTACCAAGCAGGCCAACAGTGAAATTTATGCCAGGTCACCTGCAAACTTGTTTGAAAGCAAAAGTGGAGAACTAAAGAAGCAGCTAACAATACTCTTGTACCTTGAATGCTTCTTTTAAAAAAGGCCTTACATCCTTCACACGACCAGACTCCATAGTGGTATCCCGACGCATAATCGCTGCAGACAGCGCAGAAGTGAGCATCCCTCTTTGAACTTGGACTAGTAACAGGGCTGGCACAGCTGCTCCCACTGGCCTTCCTTTTCAGTGTCTCTCTGGGGGCAAAGAAAACATTCATTGTCCAAGATCATTAAAAGGAAACAGGGACTTTCTAGGGGAAAAAACAGCATGAACATTGCCCAATTCATCTCTTTGCCCTCCAGGGTTCATGTTAAATATATTCCAAGACACCTGATCAAGCAAAACCTTTGTTACTGATATCAGATCTATGAAGAGTCATTGTTGGGAATGACTGATGCCTGAAAGCGGTCAGGCCAGTTCATGCCCATCCATGCAGTGCTGATGAGCACCAGTAACTGGATGGCCAGCTACAGCCATCAGGGTGTACATCTCTGAGTGTAGCAAGTGACCAGATTGAGTCTGGATGGGAAGGGTGGGAGAAGAAAAAGGGAGCAAGAAGGGAGAAGAGAGAAGAGAAGGGGAGAGTGAACACGGGCCTGTCCTTTGAGAAGGCTCTGAAGGAAGCAGGTGGAGGGAGGGGCCAGTGCTTCCACAGAGGAAGAGAGGCACCAAAAACACAACCGGCTAGTTCCTAATTTTGCTAGGGCGTGTTTCTTATGGAAAGGAAATGGTAGGGGTATGACTGATTTATGAATGAAGCTAATTATACTATGGTTTAATTTACCCAAATATTAGCAAAACTCATGCTTAGAAACAAAATATTTCTTTCTTTAAAGGCTGAATGAGAAAACATTATCTTTAAAAAGTCCTAATTTTCATATTCTCTTTTACCAACAATTTTTTTTAAAAAACAAAAGTAAAATTGTGTGGTACAGCTTTCTCAAAGTTCTATGACAGCATTTGAAAGTAATAAATTTCAATATTAAATATGCAATAACTTAGTTCTTCGGTTGTTTGGAAACATATCTCACCCTGATGCTTCTCCCTAGAACACCTCTGTCCTCTGTAGCCACACCTGTCATTAAAAATGGTATAAATTGAATGGAAATGATTAACCATGTTACCTTGCACCTAGAGTTCAAGAAATTTCAACCAAAATCTACATTTAAATAGTTTCCTGTCAATCTTCATAAAATGTTATTATTTTGTGAACATATGAAGTGTTATTATTTTAGTTCATTGTTAAAAAGTTTGCACCAATTTTTTTATCTGTCTTTTCAGGCTTCATGCATCTAGTATTTCATTAAGTTGTAATACCAACAGTTACTTTTATCTTCAACACAATTTGTCACGAACACTAAATTGTGATTTCAATTTACAAGATCAGAAAGCTCTAACTTGAAAGTAAAGTAAAAATTTCTTTTTCAAACCCAAATCACTTAATCAAGAAGAAAGTGATTTGGGGTGAGGGAGGGTATAGCTCAGTGGTAGAGTGTGTGCTTAGCATGCACGAGGTCCTCAGTTCAATCCCCAGTATCTCCGTTAAAAAGAAATAAATAAACCTAATTACCTCCCCCTCCCCCCAAAAAGCAAACAAACAAAACAAACAAAAAAGAAGAAAGTGGTTTAAGTTAAATCTTTATTTTCTAAAGATGTAGTCATGAAAGTGAATTCCCCCCACAACACAGATCTGTAAACTTAACTTTTTAATTAGGACTAGACTTCAGAATAGATATTACAGACATTCTAGAACTCAGAATATCAGATGTTTTAAGTGATCTATGTGACTAATAAAGACCTTGTATAACACATACCTTTATTCTCACTAAATCATGAAGTGACCTGAATAACTCCCATGAACTACAATTCAGAATGAAGACTGGATTTACCTGTTCACAGGTAGGGTGTGTTCTAGTGATCTTGCTTCACACCAAGGACTCTTTTGAGGTTCTGTATACAGAAGTGACGACTGGCAATGGATGGCTAAAGGAGAGAGGTGTCCAGGAGTTGGCCACAACACACTCGGGCTTGTGGTCTGTCGACCAGGTCCACCTTCTGAGTTGTTGGGAATAGTGTAATTCATCACAGCAGGGCTATAGAATGTCACGGCCGAATATTCATGGCGGCTCTCTACATAGGACGACGGTATATATATGGGGCCTGGCTCCAGGGGTAGGACAGGTTGACTGCAGTTGAAGGAGACAGGAGAGTTAAGGCTAGATGGTGAGTTTTTGATATCCATGTCTTCAACAGGTAACAGCTAGGAAAACTCCTTGTGAGAAGAAGCACAAAGGAACACCATAATGTTCTCAAAGAGTCATGGCCAGGTATGGCTGTAAGGAGAAGAAAAGGCAATTCTAAGTTACAAGTACAAGCATAACTATTTAAAAGGCTGACATATTTTTACTAAACACTTAGACACACACACACACACACCACACTTGTACGGACCTAGAAATACATACTGAAAAATACACATGAAAATGTTAACCTCAGAGGGGTGGGAATCTGAGGCACGGAACCCGTTTTCTACTTCATTCACCTCCTTACTGCTTTTGTTGTTAACCATGACAATTTAATACAAATTCTTTTAAAAATTAAAAAACATAAGATTAAATAAAAATGCTTTCTCTGGAACTAGGTAAGTTCATTTTAAAGTTCTTATGAAGAAACAAACAAGGATAACCAAGAAAACCCTGAAAGAGCAGATCAATGAGGACTAGCATTAACAGATATTCAAATACACTATGAATCGCCAATAATAAAAAGGGAATAGACAGGCCAATGTACCTGTGCCAATAACCAATTTATTGCCTCTCACCTTTGAATGCACTCTTCCATATATGTTCTACGACAACGGAATTCCTTTAAGTATTTAAAGTGAGCCCAGCGTAAGCTTTCTCAGTAGAGGGTGCTTCAGGGACACCGCAGGGAAGAGGCTGCTGTGATCCCGGCAGGGGCAGAGGCTGGCAGGGTGGGTGTGACAACATCCAGTGGAGTCTGTGACAGAAATGAATCCAGAAGGAGGTCCCATTGCAAACCTGCAGCCTTGGCATAGAGAGAACCTTTCTGCAGTCACCTGCCCAGGCTGTGGCCCAAGCAGTCACAGAGAAGCCATTCCTTGTGCAACCCTCATCTCTGGCACCTGCATGCTCTGCGGACACCTGGACTCCCAGTGCACGCCCCCACATCACACATTGCTGACTGCCTGCTCCCCACCTGCAACTCCAGACCACTCTAGCCTGTCTAAACCAGTAGATATCTCTACTAACTAGTGGCCAAACTATCTTTTCCAAGGAGGGCTGAACCCCCTAGATTTGTCCTTCCTTGGGTACTCTCCCCTCAGCTCTTGGGTGCCATATAGAGTGTCTTATATCTTATACTTAATCTCTTCTTGTAGTTGGTAATTCTTATATTAGACTTCCCCTGTTGAACCTACTAGGTAGTTTCTATCTCCTCATTGGACCCAGATTGCAATGCAACAGAATAGAAAATACCAAAACAGCAAGTTCAAAAACTCAAAATTTTTGGAAATCTGGTACATGATAAGGGTGGCCAAATTTCTCAAATCACTAGGAAAGCACCCAACAACAGAATTATCATTGGAAAAAAATTTATGCCAGAATAAACTCCAAATGTTAGAGACCCCAATGTTAAAAGAAAACTGGAGAAAAAAAACAGAGAGAGAGAAAGAATTGGAAAGAGGAGGGAGAGGGAAGAGGAGGGGAGAAGGGCGGGAGCTGCACCAGTACTAGAGGCAAACCTAGGTGAATCCCTTTACAACATAGGTGTGGGGAAAACCTTCTTAACTATGGCTCAAAGTCTAGATGCAATAAAAAGATATACATAAAATTACATAAATGCAGTATACATAATAGTAAATCTTAGCATATCATAAAAACTTCTTAACTCTGACTCAAAATCCAGATGCCATTAAAAGATGTGCATAAAAGTACATAAACTCATAAAAGTGAATATCTGCATATCATAAAAATAACATGTCAAAAGACTAATGATAAACTGAAAAAAAAATACTCCCAACTTGTATCAGCAACAAGGGGCTAATCACCCTGGTATATAGAAAGAACTCTTATATTAAGGTGAAAAAGACCAAAAATTCATTAGAAAAATAGGTAAAAGACATAGATAGAACACACAAAAAAAGGAAGGCAAATGGCTCTTAAAATACATAAAAAGATGTTCAACCTTGTTCAGCAAAGAGATACAAATTAAACTACACCAAGATACCAGTTCTCACATTTACCAAGAATTCAAATGTTTGATAAGACTCTCTTGCCAAGATTATGGAAAAAACACGGACTGTTTCCTACATTGCTGGTGAGAGTGCAAAATGGCACAAATTCCATGGGCACTTGGCAATAAACAGCAAAATTACATATGCTTTTACCCCTTGGACCATGAGTCCATAGTGATGTTCAAAAAAGGAGAAGAAAAAGAGAATCATCTGCCATCATTGCAAGTGACTGTTACATCAGTTCCTCACTCTAAAAATTAGTAATTAGGGAAAAAGAATTAAACCTATATTCCAGCTTTTTAAGAGAGTCTATGATTTATCCCAAAGTACAGGGGAAACCCTATTTAAAAAATTTTTTTTAGTTATATTTATTTTTTATCTTTTTTTGGAGGTGTATGAAGTAATTAGGTATTTATTTGTTTATTTTTTTAATGGAGGTACTGGGGATTGAACCCAGGATCTCGTACATGCTAAGCACATGCTCTACCACTGAGCTATACCCTGCCACTCCTGGGAAACCCTTCTTTATCAAAGAACGGCACTTAATAAATAGTTCAGAAAAATATTTGGATGGATAGATGAGATAGAAAGATAGAGCAAATAAGCCAAAATGTTAACTTTTACCAAATCTAGGTGGTAGGAACATATGGATATTCATTATACTAGTCTTTCAACTTTTCTGTAACCTTGAAATTTTTCATGATAACCTTTGGAGAATAAAACAAAGAACTTAAAAATGGAAGTCTTTTTTTAAAAGTTAAAATAACTGGAATAATATAATCTGGGAAAGGGAACAATAACCATTAATAATGAGACTGGTTGAGAGAGATCATTAAGAAACTTGCCTAAAGAAATTCTCAGTCCAATATTTTCAGCTCCAGCAGTCATCTACTTCCATGTGTAGGTGACTTGACTCCCGAAAGCTCCCGATTCCTTATTTCTGACATCATTTAAATGCTCCCTTCCTTTGTCCTCAAAACACAATATACCTATGGTGGTTTTAAAAAAAAAAATCCACAAATTCTTCCACACTCTTCCCTACAAATGGTGGTGCCTAACCTCCCCCTTGAGTATAGGCTAGATTTAGTGACTCTCTTCTAATGAATAAACTATGGCAGAAGGGATGGCATCGACTTCCACATCTAGGTTATAAAAGGCACTGCAGCCTCCCCCTGGCTTGCTCTCTAGGACTACTCACTCTGGGGAAAGTTAGCTGCCATTTGTGAAGACACTCAAGTAGCCTTATGATGGCCTCCTGCCAACAGCCAGCAAGGAACTACAGTGAGTGAGACATTCTGGAAGCAGATCCTCCAGTTCTAGTCCAGTGTTCAGATAACGTAGCCTTGGCCGACATCTTGACCTCAACCACATGAGAAGGCCTTTGCCAGAACCATCCAGCTCAGCTGCTTCTGGATTCCTCTCAAAAACTGTGTGAGATAATACGTTTGTTGTTTTAAGCTGCTAAATTCTATGATAATTTGTTACACAGCACTGGATAATTAATACAACATCCAAGGCAAAAGTCATCATTTTCCTCCCTCAAACCACTCCTTATTTCCTATTTGTGTTCAATGTGACAAAGCCCATTACAGTTATCTTTAGTTTCTCCCTCCATCCAATTACCTTTAATGACCAAGGCACGCTGGGTTTTTCCTCCACAGTGCCTTTCCCCATGTTATGTCCTTTGCCACCTTCTGAGCAAGCTCTCGTTACCTTTTATCTGTGCATCCGTACTAGGCTCCTTGCCTCCACTGAGCTTTCTCCAGGTCCACAGGGCAACCAGATTAGCATTCTTAAAAACCCAGCTCTGATCAGTCCTCTGCTTCTCACCAGCCTCTTAATAACTCATGCTCTTCTAACAGTCAAGGCATTCCACTGTATGGCCCCAACTCATCATTCCACTCTAATCTCCTGCAACTTTCCTACAGAAAACCAGCCATGTCCATAAGAAATATGCAAAGTGCATTGTGAAGTGGTTGGCATTTTATGCCTTAGTATATTTTTCACTCTAGCATCCCTATAGTTACCTACTATTTTTCACTCCAGCATCCCTATAGTTACCTACATAGAAAATTAATCTTCCTTATTAGAACTATACTGAATTCTTAGAAATGGTAAAGATGGGGTGGGAGAGTAAAAAGTAAGTACAGTTAAATTTTAAGCTCCTTGAAGGCACACATTATATTTTATTCGCCTCCCACTACAATTCAATAAACAATTGTTGTAAGAAAAGAATATAAAGAAATGTGTTGAAAATATACAATTTCATCCATCGACGGTATTAATCAAATATGGAGCATTTTCAGGAGGCACGATACTGAGCTGAGACAGAGAATCTAGGAGTCCCAAAACATGTACCCTGCCTTCAGGAAGCCACCACTGTGTCTGGTGAAGGAGACAGACAGACCAGGTGAAATGACAAGGAACTAATACAAAGCTGCTACCACTTCTAATCAACACTGACTGACCACAAGGGACAGGAGAGAGAATGGGAGCTGGAGACGAATATAGGACCAAGGGAGTCTTTTAAAAACTATGTGCATGAATTAATCATGAGTACAGGATTTCATATTTCAATCCCTTAGCTTCCTAACATATACAATTCCCGATTCCTAATAGAGAATATGGAAGATAAAGCATATAATGCTAACTATTGTCAAAACTAGCAATTTCCAAACTTTTTTAAAAAGTTGTATTAAATACACATAACAAAGTTTATCATCTTAACCATTTCCATGTCTACAGTTCAGTAGTGTGAAATGCATTCTCACTGTCGTGCACCCAGTCTCCAGAACTCTTTTCATCTTGCAAAACTAAGACTCAACACCTGTTAAACAACATTCCTCCTCCCATTCCTCCTCCCCCAGCTCCTAGTGACCACCATACTACTTCTGTCTCCATGGATTTGACTATTCAGTACCTCATATAAGAGGAATCATACAGTATTTGTTCTTTTGTGACTGGTTTACTTCACTGAGCATAATGTCCTCAAGGTTCATCCATGTTGTCTCATGTGTCAGAATTTCTTTCCTTTTTAAGGCTGAATAATATTCCATTGTATGTATATTCCACATTTTA